CTTGTCACATGATAACCAGCGTTTATTTCCCCATAATGATAACAAGATCCACATTCATTCCTTATATTTACATTGGTTTAACTTTTCTGATAAAATACGCTAAAATGTTCTATTTTTTAATTGTAAAAATACCCGAAACCGATGTCGCTTAATTCACAGATATCTGTCAATCAAGTTCACCGACCCGCCCCTAACAATATAGTTCTATAAATAGACAGTCTTATTTGGATGATAGAATTATCAAATATTTATTATTCCATTGAAATATTAACAACAATTGTAAATTTAAATAAATTGTAAAATTAGATTAGACTCTAGGTAAAAAAAACATGGGTCAATCCTTGTTTTCGTTTTCGATGTATTCATACGCCTTATTGTCACGTGACAAACTACAGTTATTGGAAAATAAACGACGGTTTGGCTAACTGGTTTATTGAAGGGAGTGATAGTAGAAATGTAAATATAACTGAATGGAAAACAGTTTTGTAAAAGCAGACTACTGAAATGGCTGTATACTTAACATATAATCTTTTTTTTGGCCCCTTTTCAGCAAGCTTTACTCGTATTGACTCTTACTTAAATCAAGCTGTGCCTGTGATGGACTTAATCATAACAATACAGTTTTGATCATGTTTGTGCTTAATTATTTGAATTGTAAATAAACAAGATAACATGCATTTACAGAGAAACAACTAGTGAAGAAACAAGAGGCTATAGATGCACCGGTAGAAGGTGAAATGAATATAGTATTTACTATGGAAAGACCAGAAATAATACTGATAGAAGATCAACTTAATCCTGACACTACATCTCTTATATTAGATGTAAGTTAAATCATATATAAGTAAATCATAATTCCATTTACATGGTATCATGCAATTTGATTGGATAACAGCAGTCACATGCATTCGGTTTCTGTGTAAACAGAATGTAAATATAACCTCCTTAACGGACTACTTTTATCATTGAGTTTGATTTAATTATAAGGAACGACCTGAACATATTTTCATTCCTTAAGTACATCAAGTATAGAAAATAATTACAAAATTCTTATATAAAGTTTATTTCCTTGCATGACATTTAAACGACATTTGGAGAAAGTTGAATGCCCTATCAAAGTTATCAAGTAGTTTATAAGCTAACAACAGAAAAATTGCGATACTGACAGGGAGTAGTAATGACTTATTCAGAATAGTAGACACACATTTGGATTTATGAATTTTATTGTCTTTTTTTTTTTTTTTTCAGACTGAAATTTTCTTTAAAATGAGACAAACTCCAGATGTTCAGACAATGCAAGCTGCTATTAAAGGATTACATATAAAATCATGTTCTTATAGTAAACGAGAACTACCTGGTATTAAAGTAAGTTTTTTGAACAAAAATGAAAAATTATTTCTTTTCAGTACCAGAGGAAGAACCAAATGTAGGTTACATTATAAAGTGATGTAGATGCAGATGAAAAAAATGTCATATGTTTGAAACTGTGGTTTAGTCTTGAGAAACATTAATTAACATATTAAAGGAAGAGATATTTATATAGTTTCAACCTAGAAACTATTTATTGTCTTGTATTTGTATTTGTTCCAACTTGTTACTGATAAAATATATACTTTAGTAAAGCTATTGAATTGTATATTTTAGATTCTACCACCATGTGATATCAACCTAGTTAGTAGTGCACCTCATGGTAAAGATCATCATATGGATGTAAATATAACTGATATTATATTAAATATATCACCAGCTACTATTAGAACAATGGCTGCTGTAGCTAGTGGATTCTCAGTTCAACCAGTAAGTTTATTATCAAATATTATCAATTTTGTCCTAATTTGAAGAACTGGTGTAGTTTGTGGGAATGCCTTACATGGATCTCATAATAATCTCATTTATTTTTTTTTTAATCCATTGAATAGCTGCCAAATATATTATGTCATATCAGAGTTAACTTTTGTATGTTATAATGATATCTTGCAGATACCAAATGTCAGTGTAGAATCATTTTATTAATATATATTTACTTATTTCTTATCATTACATCTGATGACAACACGTGTATATTGTGTTGAAACGTTATGTGCCCAACCTTATTAAAGAAGTGTGTTATATTCCATAATATTGTCTTGTGTTTTGTTATACTTATTTCTTACTTATTGTTTTGTAGAGTGAAAATGAAAAGAGTAACCAAGAAGTTATACCAGCTGATTTGTGGGCAACAAAAAAGGTGACAGAAGACTCACATTGGTTTACAAAACTACCACAAAAACCAGAAGAATCTGAAGATGACAGGAGTGGTACACCATTGAAAGGAGAAGGTGATAGATGTGAACAGGTTGGTTTTGATTTGTATTGCCCAAATTTCTGGTCTGGTATCATTATTAACAACTTCATTGATATTTTAATATTTATAGCTATTCTTACAGCTATTCTTACTCCTTGTTATGCCCAAAGTTTAATTCACACTTTAAAATTATAAGAAACCATTTTATGTATGTAGCTTAATTTCTGACCATCACTTGGCACTTTTTATAGGTTGAAGGTCAATTTATTCCATATCCATTCCATATTGATCACTTTGTCTATCATCTTGTCATCAAACTTATTTACAGGTTGCTAAAGTCACAAGAAAAGAACAGGTTAATTTCACGCTATTTTTCCTCTAAATTTTGCACTTGCCATTACCTTTCTTAGCATTCTGACACATTCCTTTTTCTATAATTAACCTCATAGGCATGTATTATTAATTTCGTCATATTCTTCCTTTGGAACTGTATTGGTTTGTGTACATTTTTGTTGTTAAAGTTGAAATTAAACATTCTCTTTATTGTATGGAAGTATACTCAAATATACTGACTTATCACCTTGTAACAAAATTAGTGAAGCAAAAAATATATTTGATTCATGGGACAAGTTATAAGAAAATAGTTTTAAAAATATTGGGTTGTTGATTGCACTTTTTCTTGCTATATTCAAATGATTGTATATGGTATTGTTTTATGGTTTATTGTTTTCAAACTGTACAATTAATGATTATTGATGTTAGTACTGTAGTATAGTACTCAATCAAGGGTTTTGAGTTCTCAGATTGAAGGTCCCAAGCTATTATTTAAAATTAAAGTTAATCAGATAGTTGCTAACTTTATTCCTGTTAAATGTATAGTTGATCAGATGGGGAACTTAGGCTGCTATCTTAATAAGAAATTATAAGTCAGTAATTAAACTAATTCAATCTTTTGTTTTTTGGGATTTGTTGTTTGCCTTTTTATACGCCCACATGGAAATGTGGCGTCACCCCTATCCATTGGTCCATCCGTCAGTCCGTTCACATTTCTTGTAGGCGTGATAGAGGCTACTGTTTTCATCCGATCTTCATGAAACTTGGTATACATGTATGTATTGATGAGATCTGGGTCAAGTTCGAAAATTGGTAATAATCCGATGAACTGTTTCAGAGGTATTGGCCTTGACTTAGTAATAACAGTTTTTATCTGATCTTGAGGAAAATTGGTATGCATGTTTATATTGATGAGATCAGTAAAATCAGAAATTGATAATAATCGGATGCTTTGTTTCAGAGTTATTGCCCTTGACTTGGCTATTGGCTTGTAGGCACGATAGAGATGAAACTACATATGCATGTATATATTGATCTGATCTCAGTCAAGTTAGAAATTGGTAATCAGAGTTATTGCCCTTGTGTGTACAGCGATGAGACATTGTTCATGTTTGAATTTGATGATACTTAATGAACTGTTTCAGGTTTTTGCCTTGACTTATAGATGATTTTAATATTATTTGAAAAATCATTATTAAGCCACTAAAGATTTTGTTATCATTTCTGACAGCCAGTAGTGGGCGTATGTTACCTTGCCTGGCAAGCTATCTTGATATTTTCTTGGTGTTGTTTATTTGTTTTGCTGCCTTGTGCGTCATTATTTGCATGAGCTAGTGTGTAGTATATAGTAATCAATGTTAAAGTTAGAAGCAATTTTGTTTTGAAAGAAAATAAGTAAAGATATAAACAGAAGAAATAAAGACTGACTGTTTAGTTGAAATATCCTCAGGATATAATGATAATAAATCTTCTTTGGTCTGTTGATATTTAAGCATAAATTGTTTTTAGATTTGCTTTTTGAGAAAGTATTAATATGCAAATAAAGAAATACAAATGTCATAGTTATATATTTATGTGTATTTAACTATATATCAATGTAAATAATGTATATTATTGTTGTCTATTATAGATGATTATATCACTATCATCATTAGTAATAAAATTAGAAGGTGGTGTAGGTAAACGTACTGTACCACTATTAATAGTAGAATCATCATTTCAAGGTGAAGTTAAAAACTGGAGCTCACAGGTAAGTAAAAAGTACACAGCATAATTGCACTGATCCACAAATAAAAGAAAAGCAATGTGATTAATGCTCAGAACACATGTGAATTTTACAGATTTGTACACTATTGATTAATGAATAATATTATTTGTAGCTGTATGTAGACACATCATTAAGTTTGGAAGTGGCATATTATAATGAATTATTAGCTGTATGGGAACCATTATTAGAACCTGTAGTTAAAGATAGTAAAGTACATCGCTGGGATCTCAATCTAAATGTAAGTATTATTTACATATTTCATACCTGTAGTAAATTTTCCAAAAGATAAAATTCATAGAGTGACATCATGTGTTCTAAAAGGGTGAGCATGATCTAATATGCCACAGTATGATGTAATCTGGATGGTGAATCAAGAGTGTAATAAAGATGTTTGTTTTATAATTAGGTTGTTGCTGCTGATGATAGTATTATACCAGTAGATCAAGAAGAAACTGATGTTGATAATATTGTTCTACCACCACCTAAAATGACTATCAATGTTAAATCAGTTGATAATCTCAATATAACTATGACCAAAACATGTTTAGAAGTACTTGGTAAACTAGGAAAGGTATGTCCATCATCTTAATTTATAGATAGAAATTTATGAATTTGAATCTTAAAAGTGGCATTGTTATGGCAGTTATCATAAAATGTATATTACTGGAAGTCAAAGAATTTTACAATTTCACTTACAATCTTGTAAAAACTTCGTACAAATTAGCTACATGTGTAATGATTAATGTTTTTATACGCCCACATCTCTCTATGTGGACATATATTGTCGGCACCCCTGTCTGTCCGTCGATCGTCCGTCAACATTTGCTTGTAAACTAGATTTTTTGATGGAATCAAATGAAATTCGGTATGTGTATACATATATAAAACGAAGATCAAGTTCGAATTTGAGCTATTTTCGACCGCTAGAAGCAGAGTTATTGCCATTGCCCCAAAATCTTGAATATGCTATTACTCTTAGTTTTCAACTGATTTTGATGAAACTTAAAATGGATGTTATTGGACCTTAATCGAAAGGTTTGAGAACGTTTATTAGGCCTCTTACGTCAGTTTTGAGTAGTTATCGCCATTTAACCTCTATACAGTAAGTGCTTCTATCAACATCAATTGCTCGTCAGCACTCTAAAAACTAGAGTGTTTGAAGGAATCAAATGAAATTCGGTATGTGTATACATATTCATGAAACGAAGATCAAGTTTGAATTTGAGCTATTTTCGACCGTTAAAAGCAGAGTTATTGCTATTGCCCCAAAAACTTGAATATTTACCATCCGCATGCCGTGGTGGGCGTATATGGCTGTGGTCCACTATCTTTATGTAATGTGTTTGTTTATATTTCAGTCATTTAATGATGCCTATAATCTAGTCAAACCTGGAGCACAGAAAGATGAAATTACAAGTCCTTATGTATTTAAAAATCAGACTGGTTTAGATTTATTATTGAAGTTAGACACAACCTTCCAGGTAAGCAAACTTTCCTTTGCGATAGATGTTAAGAAATAAGACAATTTTGATTTTTGAATGGACAAATAGTTTAACAAAGAAAGTTATTATTATCTGATCTTACTATTTAGAATCAGACCCAGAGCTAGGAAAATTGCCAAGGCATTGTTTTTACAGATAGGAACAGGAAACTATGCTAAACCTGTGAACATTTTTAGTAAAAATAACAGTAAAGTGATAGAAGGTGAATGAGATGTATACTAGTTTTAAAAACAAATTTATTGAAGTGAAATACTATGTATTTTGTAGAGTCCTGATAATTCATTGAGTGGCCGTGTAAAGTTAGCTAGCGGGGAGACATTACCTACCTATGAAAAACCAGGATCAGTCATGTCTATGTCACCTAAAGCTTCCGTTATTAAAGCTACACAACAAGGTGTAGAGAAAAAGATCATCTTCCAGGTAAATTTGGCTTGATACTTTGGTATTGAATCTGATGAAATTTACAAGATATATGAAATATGTCTTGCTTATACAAAATATTGGATGTTTTATGTAACAATTTACCATCTTATATCTATTGCCATATTCAAAATCTATCGACATCTTTAACAATAGAAACTTTTTTAAGCCTAATAGTAATTTTAGATCTGAAATGTTAATTTTGATTTTTGATACCATAACAGTGAACTCTGAACTGAACTAGATAACCCAACTTATCATTCTAATGTTATTGTATTTTTTAGGTAGAACAGTTTGGAGCTACAAGAGAATTGGTCATAAAGCGTGCTGAGAAGAGATTATTTCAGATAAATCAACGTTCACATTCTGGTGATATGTGGTCTATTGTATGTTGTACTGATACTAATGTTGGTCAGAAAATAGTCTCATTACGGTCAATTGTCCAGGTATGTATTTCGATTCAAGTGAACATAGATGAGTGAAAATTTGCATAAATGGCCATGTTTCAATTGATAGGCCATTTTTCATATCTACCTGTCTGACCTGCATCAAGAACTTGACATCATTGATAAATGAAAAAGTCTGCCAGAACTGTCATCCTCCCATGGATTATTTGTTGTGCCACAAGTCCCTGAAAATTCCATAATTATCAGGTAAATCCTGTCTTTCTTTTGGCTACTATCATTGAAAATAGTTGTTATGAATATATTTATGTTATATTTTATAGATCTGTAATAATCTAACTATGCCAGTAGAAATATTATATAAAGGTGATACTAAATTAGAGACTTGTGGAGTAGCCTACGAAGGAGAAATATTTAGTGTACCATTAGCAGCTGTATATAGCCTTCATGGTGAATTATATTTTAAACCATTAGATGGAGAGTAAGTGATTTCATGCTTCTTATAATCTAACAATAATGTAGGGTTGTATGTAGACACTGCTGTAGCTCAGTGAAAGTTTTCCCTTCACCAAATGTACTGACTGAACAGCTCTGATAAAAATTAGCTTAATGGTGGTGGCAAAATGTTTATGATTTTTCATAAAAAGTTTTTGTACAAGTTATTTTAAAGTGATGTCAATTTTGTATATTCCAGATATATGGACTCAGAAAATGGTTATAAATGGAAGAATGCTGGTGATATGAAACAAATTTGCTGTAAGAATGCACCAGGACAACCATCATTCTATTTTAATGTAAGTATACCTTAGATGCAAAAACGTTTTTCAGCAATAGAGATCGGGCTCATTTCAATAAGATTTGTGTTGATTCTTTGCACTGTAAAATATTCTGATTGTCAACTGTTTTTTATCATTTTCAATTAGTTTGCTATATTTAATTATACTTAAAAACATATACATTCAACTTTACATGAAATGTTAAATGTTTCATATTGGTTGTGAGCTGACATCATGTCAATGCATGACAACAGCATCAATATTGGCATCACTTCTTACCTGAGGCAGATTCAAATTTAAGTTGTAACTAATAGAAGAAATTTGATTTTGAATTTTAGGTAAATCCTACAGTAGAAGATATATATTTTGAAGCTAGTAATGATAAAAGTTCTAAATGTTACATGTTAAATTTACATCCTACAGTTATATTACATAATTTACTACCAATGTCTGTAAAATATCAATTAGAGGTCAGTAATACATTCAAATATCAAAATACAGAACAGACTTGATCTATTTTAACTATCTTGTTAAATTAACTGTGACTTGTCCTGGAAAAGATTTTTTAGCTCAAACATATGTTTTTGAATGTAAAATCAGGATAAGGGGTTATTTGTTTGACAACTGGTGATTTTTGATGTTTATTGGTTGTCTTTGCTGGAAATGTTTACTGGAGAGGAAAAATAACAAACCTGTGTTTGAACCTTTGTAAGATAATGGTGGTTTTATCTGGAAAATTGATATACTGTTCAAGATATAGAATTTTAAATCTTCTTTTTTACAGGGTTCAGCTGATGAGACAACACTAGAAGATGGTGTGAATGTTCCATTACATCATGCATCAGTTAATGATAGTACCTTGGCATTAACTGTAAGTAATTATTTTTCTCCAAAAATATTTCTCAGATTTTTTGATTATAAAATACCAAAAATTGTTGGTTTGATGTTTGATGTGTTCAACAAACATGCATATCCAATGAATTTTTGCTGTGGGAAATGATCTGTTTATGGAACATTGCTTGACATGGGGATTATTTTGTGTTACATTGACTGTTATTATGTCATATTAATCCATTTCATTGTAACATTAATGTCATCATCTTCATATTAATTCATTATATTAACAGCAACCTTTGAAGATTGTGGTATGTGTTTAAATCCATTGATTATGTTACATTTTATATATTATGTTTATTATAATAATTAAGTTATCATAATCATGTTATTTTATATATTATGTTATTACAGTAGTTCAATTGAAGCATGTGTAATGAACTTCCAAGATTTTTTAATTGTAAGCTCACTGATAATATTGATATAAGAGGATCCTATAAGGCTGTAATTATTTTGAATTAGCTATCATTTTAGTTTAAAATAAAAATTTTACCAAAGAAAATTGGTAACAACTAAATTTGATGCTGAACTGAAAATTGCTAGGCTAAATTTAATACTACTTGGAAGCTCATTCGATATCCATATTATATTTTATTTCAGCCAGTGCATGATTTACTGGCATGTTATATTTGTAGATATGCTGAATTGAAAAATATTTTCTTTAAATTGTTGTATTTTTATACATGTTGGTTAAGGTTTTAATGTCTAAAATATTGATGTAGTTGGTGTATTAAATTCCCTAATTGATAAATCAGTTTTTACTGTGTGTCCAATTGACTGTAGAAAATCTAAACTTTTATGAACAGGGGAAGGTATTTGAGCAATCTGTTAATATATAGTTGTGAAAAATATAGTATAGCCTTGACTTTATAACAGAAATGTCTTGATTAAGCTTGAATCTAGATGTCCTATATGATTTATTTTACCTGAATTTCATTGAAATAAGTACCGGTATATAAGAAATATTTGTGTATTATATTTAGATTATAGGTATAGTAAACCCCATGTAGTATCCTATGATTAGTATTTTGAAGAATATGTATGGCATGACGTAGAGTTTAGTAAAGAAATGAAACTGTCTATATAATATGTTTATTGATAAACTATCTCTATTACAGATTCTCTCTTTGTCAATTCTATATGTAGAATGATAATGTTAATGAAGTATTTGCTCCTCTACAGTTAGTTACAAATGTTTATGTGCATCTTCCCAAACAAAGACCTAAAAAGTGTTTCAATATAGAATAACTGATATTGTGGGAGACTTTTCATGTTCATTATCGAAATCCTTATTATGATATACATTTGTTTTTTGTAGTTACCAAATTACCGTGGTCGAGATTGGACTGGAAATCGTGTTTTAAAACTAGATGTACCAGAATTATCAGTGTGGACTATTGAGGCTTACGAAGGCAGTACTAGAATAACAATGGTATGTATCTTATATTAAACATTAATGACTGGCCAGGTTTAAATGGTTGCAATTTTTAAAGGTTTTACATAAATTTAAAGTGGATGAATTTTACATTCTATATCAATATGAACAATATTTAGTATTCTTGATTGATTTAACTCATAACACAGTTTAATGATTTATGATAAACAAAATGAATTATATCATTGGAAGTGATATACAAACTATAAAATGATCATGAAATTATTTATTCCCATTTGTATACATTGCATATTACCAAATACCAAATTGAATTTGTATATTAGGATCTTGGATTACATTGTAAGATAAATAATGGTAGTTTTGATGTGACAATATTTAGTCCATATTGGATGATCAATAAAACAGGAATGACCTTATATTATCAGGTAAGTAACTAACTTTGATAATTTTCATATATTAACTTAATGATTGTGTAGAATATGAATTATAACATGATCTAAGAGTAATTTCTTCTTTTCTTCAGTGATTAAGCCAATGCAATGCATATTTAAGTGTTATAGAGAATTTGTAATGTGTGTTTCCTTTATCAATATTGTTTATAAGACACATAGTATCATTACATTGTTTCTGGACATGAATGTACTGTTTTGTCTATTGGATGAAGCATCCACTGGATAATGATATGAAAGAGCTCTAATGGTTTCTTAGTCTACTGATTTGACTATTTATTTGTACAGGGTTCAGATTCTGATGAAAGTATAGAACATCCTCCAATATTTGATGGTTGTATATTATTTGCCTATAAACCAAAATCACTGTTTAGTAAGAAAAAGGTATGTGTTTGTTTCTATATTATTTATTAGTTTATATTTTGTAATGTTAATGTATTGTTTCTAATTTCACATGATACAATTTTATTTTATTTAGTGTTAAATAATTGAAATGTTAAATAATTATATCCATTTTTGAACTTTTGAAGCAAAGTAGATGATTTTTTTACATGATGTGAGGGTAATACTGTAGTTTTCAATATATTATATTTTATTTGGTTGTACTGTCAAAATGACAGACTTAGTTTATGGTGAATTACTTCGATGTCCACATTTACCCTAATCGAATCAACAGCCTGTCATGAAACATAAGTAAATTAAAATTTGTAATCTTGTGAATCATAGAAAACTGAGAAATCAGATGATAAAAAGACTAAAGTTAAAGAAATGAAACAGAGTGGTAAAGTATGTACATATTGAATGGAGTGTTTATTAGACCACAGCATTTTATTAGTAGATTCAATATCATACTGTATATACATTACTAGACACTGTTTTTATTTACTAAATGTTGTATATAGTATCAAATATTTTATTGTAATATTCTAATAGTGAGCGACATATAATTATTTTGATGAACTTCTTCTACCTTACTATGAAATTACTCTTGCTTAAAACTCTACACCTATTGTTTGACACCAGAGCATTGGTGCTACAGGGGGTAATATCGCAATATAAAGAAAGAGGGCCTCATGTTGAAAAATTAATAGCATCTTATTCGACTTAGAGTTTTCAAATCTATTTCTGACCCTTTACTGGACATAATACAAAATATTTGATAATATTAATTGTATCCTGGCGTAAATATTGTGATATATATCAAATTGAGGCTTCAGGAATCGTTGCAGCCATTTTTGCAAGCGCAAGTTTATGAATGCTAAAATCTTAAACTTGTAATTATTTGACATCTGATTAAGAAATGTTACAGTAGAAATATTTGATACGCTACGATGATTTGTTTTGATTGGTTTAATAGATATGCCTATCTGTAATATATACATGGTCAATATGCGGAGTTTCTTTTCTATCATTATAAATATAATATATGACTATGCAACATAGATGTAGTGGTTATTTTGGTTTACTAATGGGGAAAGACAAAAATATGCTTTGGATGGTTATCTTGAAGTAGGTTTTTGACTTCTATCAATGATAAAGAGCATTTGTGCACTAGAGCTGATATTAAGTTAATTAGTTTACCATTTTTATGTATGTTCATGATTAGACACAAGTTATGCCAAGGCTGATTGGAGGAACACATCTTAACTGCTTTCTCATTAGATGTACATGCTTTTAGATTCAGCATGTTTCTAGGAATGTCTGCACATAATTCCATCTTTTTCCAGTAAAAATATTGCTGTAACCTTCTTTGTTGTTGCTCATTTGAAAGTGGCACATCATTTTTCTCATGACACAGTTTATTTGTGCAAATTCTTTTTTGAAATATTTATTTAGTAAACTCATATCTATGATTTCAATAAAATTCGAAAATGTCCACTTATGTAAACTTGTTGAAAATAAAAAATTCAAGATATGAGGGTACTAATTAGATTGTTAGATACCATACATCATATTTCTTGTATTAATGATTTAGTTTCAGAATAATAGAATGCTGATTTCTTTTAGCTTTCTTTCTTTCTGTTTTAGTAACAGCATCATTAACAACTTATAATGTTTCATTATTGTATTATTTTAATATCATGATCATTATAAATTCATAATCATTATTATTATAATCATATTCATGCTAACTATAGAAGAAGAGAATAGACCTATGTCAGGTATCTGGTTATGTCAAAAACAATTTTTATTCCAATATTTGAATTCTGTATTTGATGATTATAAATATAGCATGATTTTTGGGAATGGAATATAAGAATTGTAGTATTATTAAAAAGATACAGGATGTCTTAATCTGAAATTTTTTATGGTGATGGAAATTTTACCAATTAATCCTTAGAATTTTAAGAAAACATATTAAATATATAAAATTGCATCTTATCCTATCTTTGAGATCAACCCCCAAAAAATAGAATGTCTTATGACACTTCTTCTTTCATAAATTTTCAGGTTTTAGGTTTTGGAGAATAATTTTGAATTTTTTGATGATATTTTTCCCTTTTTGCATTTTTTATCTTTTATCTTGACTAAAACTTGGTTATGATTTCTCAATGATGTTTTTATACCATCAATGTCTCCTTTATGATCAGTGTGTTTATTCTTTGATGCAAAAATAAATAAATTCTAGTCTAAATTATTGAAAAATAAAATAGGTTGATCTAATGGAAAAAAGTTAATCTTAGTTTATTTTGATGTGTTTAAGTACTATGATGTATTTTGTTTAACTTAATGAAATAGTGACTGATGAAGGACAAACAAGAGGTTTCTCTGTAAACTTACCAGATAATTTGACCTCCAATATAACATGTTATTTATATTATTTTAGGCCCAGATGAAGATTGGTAATGATACAGAATGGTCAGATAAATTCTCTCTAGATACAGTGGGTAGTTCTGGATCAGTTCAATGTAAAAATAAATCAACTGGTAGACTGTATGAAGTAAGTAAAATAATCTTGATTGTTATTATCATCGTAGCAAGTTTTTGCTCAACTCATGTTGTCGTATTTCCCTCGGTCCAGCTCATACAAGAAACAATTTTTGACAAGCACAATTAAGCGAGAAGTATTGCTCTCTATCTTTGATTTGGCATGGGTTATGGTATATCTTCATTGTAATTTTTAGATACTCTGTTTCAGTGGAATTGTTGTACAATATTTTTTAGGTTGGTGTGAATATCTCTATAACAAGTTCTGGTTTAAGTAAAATAGTTACCTTCTCTCCATTTTATCTTCTACTCAATACAGCTGATGTAAGTATCTTCATTGTTTTCAATATTTACTTTTTCGAAATAGAAAACCGAATGAAGCCCCTTTCAAAGTTATCATGAATATAGGACATCTAATACAATAGTTATCCACCATGATGAAAACTGTCTTTCAAATGAAATTGCTGGGGCTGATATTATACATCATTTTTAGTGTTTGAAATCCTCACAGACCAGCCAATGTCCGTAGTTAAAAGTTTCTTTTTACTTTAGATTTAAGATAATAACTCAGTCTGTTTTATTTCACAGTATGTGATACAGTGTGCTGAAGTACAAGAGAAATCAACACAAGATGTTACATGGTCTGATATACCACCACAAGGGGTAAGCATGGGGTATTATGTGATTGAGTAAAATAAATGAAATAATTAACTCAAAACTCCCATCGTAATGTCGCAAGACTTTGTCAGATAATAAACTAATTGTTAGCCATTATCAATGTCATACTTTTCAATTATTTGATGATCTTATGATACTAATCTGATATTGTATATTGCTGTGGGATGGTGTATGATATGCATTAATGAAATTAAAATTAAAACTCATTTTCCAGAGTATACCATTCTGGCCTGAACAAGATGTTAAAGAAGTGAAATTAAAGGCGAGAGTGTCTAATACTGTAATAAACACTACACCTTTCTTAGTTAATAAAGCTCATACAACATTGATGAAACTAGAAAATGAGGTAAATTCTTATCAATTCTTCTTTTGATCAATATTAACTCTGTATTAAAACAATGATTAGAGGTGAAAAGGTGATTACTGGCTTATTATCACAGAATATTTATGTTCTAGTGAGCTTAAATAGAAGAGATTCAAGAAGAAAAATCATATAGATATATCCATAAACTAGTTTGTTACAACTGTAATGGTTTTAGATATCAGTTAATATATTTTTATCTTTTTAGTTTGGTGGTATACAAGTAGAATGTAATGTATCAGAATCAGCAATGGTAACTAAATTTAAAAGTTATAAATCAGGATTTGCTACTGTCAATATTGTTAACTTTACATCTAAAGGTGTTGTTCATTATAACCAAAGGTAAGGATTTTATCAGACAATTGTACTTTTAAGATTGATCATGTGATATCTGAAACCTTACAAAATCAAATAGATCTATGTATAGAAAGATGGTAAATCTGACATGAATTCAGATACTGATTTTTTATGCTTTTTCTGTGACCCTTTTCATAATGTATTTATTTTGATGGTTATTTTCACTTTTTACTTTTTAGTGGACATTCATTAATCCATACATTAAATAGTGAAGAATCATGTTTATATACCTGGGAAGATGCATTAGGTAAATTAGAGTTGATATGGAGTTGTGGTAAAGAGAAAGATATGAAGAATGAGCTGACACAGGTATTTACTACTATAAACACTGTATATATTTTACAAAACGAAATATATTGCTCTTAAACCTCTTGTTTATGGTCATCCCAAAATGTGAACAAATTTATTTGTATATTGATTTGAAACAGAAACAATAGTTCCCTCTATTCTGATTTTCTAGATTTATTTGTGCATATTCACCAGTTTCAATTCAAAGATTTTTAGGCTCGCAGTTTTTACTTTTGAGCAAATTTATGACCACTCAATATTGACAGCAATGGAGAACCAAATTTGCTTGTTAACATGCACTGTATTGACACTTATTTTATTAATAATTTTTATTTACAAATGTTGTACTTGTTATTTGTAGGATGGTATAGGAGAATTCTTCTTAGATAGTGATACCAAGATATACTGGGTGTCATTTTTAGATGGTATGCAGAGAGTGTTATTATTTACTGAAGATCTTGTCTTAGCAACACTAGCTCAACAGGTAATTATTGATTCTGTGAACCATCATACATTTTCACAATGAATCAAATGTATCCTATTTCAAGTACAGCTTTTATCAGATGTACAGTTTTATCATTTGTATTTCTAAAAAAGATTAATATTCAAAATTACATGTAATTACATGTATGTACTGAAATAGTCTTTAAGATGGTATACCAACAATAAAATTGTCATCAAGATCTACTTAATTTTATTCTTGCCAAGAATTTAAGTATAATTTGATTGTATTAATGACGTGACAATACCAGCTTTAATCTTGAACCCATGTAGCCTTGAGCAGCTGAAAAGCTGATACAGGACATGTGTCTGTCCACTGATAAATGAACAGACAACTGATATAATGAACAGCAGAGTTTCTTATGCCTGTCAAAATTTACCCTATGGACTATGGTACAATGCATTGTTTATGATATCCCAATTTTAAGCGCAAATTATGTGTAATTTATGAAGAAATATAATTATGTTAGATATTTTACTACTAATATACAGCCTAGATTAAGATATGTTAACAAGGTTTGATTTCTTAATAATTATTTTTTTCAAAATTAAATTGTGGTGTTGGTTTATGGACAACAATTTTGTCTTTTCCAGTTTTCAAATGATACCCTTCATGCATTTAGGATTGGGTTAAATTTTCATTTTCATTATTATCAAGACTAGATTTTTAAACTATTAAACTTTTATGATTCCCTTTTAAAAGCTTTTTCGGCATATTGCAGCCATCCCTGACTATGTACTGAATTTTCATGAATAAGTGGATTATTTCAAACCTTATGAAAATATCTATTTTTCTTAGATTGTTACATTCACTCATATGTTTTTTATACCATTTTGATCTATGTTGTTTAAGATAAGCCTACTGAGTTTGTGTGTCTAACTGGACACATTACTTTGACAAATATTGTATTATACTCCATGATCTTGATCCTTAAGAATTCAACCAATTTGTTAAAAATTTGTGGTTTCACAAATATGTGGAGAGGTGTCTTGTTTGTACATGATCCACTATCTTGATTAATTGCATGAAATTCTTCTATTTCCTTCCTCACCATACCATATTGCTATAAATTTTTACTGATCATGCATGCTCAATTGAGTATGAATGTCCAAGATAAGTTATTGTCTATGTGGCCATCAAATGAAATCAAATAGCACTCAATAGATACAATTCAACCAAACAAATATATCAACATTGTCAGGTCCATGGATCCATTATGAAGGTATAAGGATCTACAATAGATTAATGATAACAACTTCTTATTTCATATGAAAATATGTTTTTACTGATTGAATTTAGTGTGTTATATGCCTGTGTATGTGTTGTGAATTATATTTGAAGAGTGAAGTGACACTTTATCCTATTGCAGTTTAAACTTACACCAAAGCTGTTTTAGATGTTAACCAGAATTTGATTTGATTGATATTATATTTTATAGGCTGGTGAATTAGAAAGAATAGATCAAGAAATTAATCTATCTATTGTTGGAATGGGATTCTCTCTAGTTAATAACTATACACAAACAGAAGTTGCCTTTATGGGTATCACAAGGTAAAAATAAACTTTGTTGAAGTTGTTGAGACATTTATTGTCTGTGCACTAGTTACTACTCTCAGGGCTATGACAACCTCACAAGCTCATCGCTTGAATAGCACACTGTGTTTGAGTGAAATGACTGTTCTCTCAATGACTATACCAAAAGCATCAGTTAAGATAGGACTTGCAGAGTAAGAGTGAAAAAATGTGTGCTCAGACTAAACTAACCAACAACAGCACAATGAAATCATCTTAAACAAGTGGTAAATTATGGCTAAATTTATATTTTTAGTTCTGGTATTATTTGGGAAGAGAAGAAGAAGAGATATAAAGGTTTAAATTTAAAAACTACTACCATATTAGAAACAGCATGGCAGAAATATATATCAGAATTAGCTGTTGGTCATAGTCCACCAAGTAGATTACAATTAGAAAATAAAATAGAGGTAAACTATAACTGTTAATTATAATGATAACACTATTTTGTAATGTCCTGTTATATCAATGTTGGGTTAAAGAATTTGATCTTTTGTCAATAATTACCATTACCATTATTTATTACAGGTTGATTTCTCTAATAAAGATAAATTAATGATGTTAAAACCTAATAAAAGGGAAATTAAGAGGAGTTTTATTGATGGGATCTGGTTACAGTATAAAGTATCATCTCACCAAGTTCAATTTCATGCTAAATTAAATAGATTACAGGTATATAGTTTTCTGTATTTAATTAGTAAGAATGCTTGCTGGATACCAGAAATAGAAACTCTCCACCATTCTTGGTGATGTGGGTTGGAAAGAAAATTGTTGTGTAGATCCAGAATTACTCTTTGAAATAAATTCACTATATAAACTCTAGAGAATTTTCAATTGCTCCAGAAAGGAATTGTGGTTCTTATAATACCATTCCTCTCCAAAATACTTCTAAGGTTATGATGATTATTGATCTGTTGGGAAGGAAGTTTTCAAGGATGTCTTTGATTCAAATAACACTCAATAGAATTGTGACCACCATCAATCTTCAGGTCCTCACCATAGTCCTAAGAGAGAAAACTGTTGAGACCACAATATGACACTATTATGACTGACTTAAAATAAAATATGATTTTGTTTATTTGCAGTTTGATAATCAACTTAATCAAGCTATATTTCCTACAGTCTTATCACCTTTACCTCCACCTAAATCAGTAGCAGCTGAAAGTGGTAAGTTATTATTATTTTTTAACTTATTCTCTTTAGATTGTTTATGCATTCTTATATTCTATGTCCACCTGTCGTGTTGTAATATTTTTATTTAATGCTTATATCAATAAAAAATTTATATTGAAAACGTTTATTGAATAAAATGTAAAATGCTATAGTGTATATTTTCAGTTCCTAAACCATTTATTGAAGTTAGTATGATGCAAAGGAAACATGAATATACAACTGTTTCCCAAATAAAGTAAGTATTTTTGATAATTCAATAATTTATTTTTTTTACATGAAAACTATGATAATCTTGTACATTTTAAAAGGAAGGAACGATTCAAATTAATGCTTTGTGTCTTGGAAAGAATTGGATGAAAATTCATCATACTGTTTTTAACATTTTAGATATGCCAAGGTGTTAATTCAAGAAATGGCAGTTCATGTAGATCAAGGATTTTTAAATGCTGTATTAGAATTATTTGCTGCTGATACACCAGTTTCTAGAGAACAGGAGGTAAGATGATTTGGTGATCTACAATAAAATGTCACGAATAATAAAATTCCAATATTAGAAAAACATATTGGCAACATTTCTTAGGATCAAGGATATTTTTTGCAATTCTGTTCTAAAATATTGTTAGTTTCATCTCGTAAGATTTTTTTTTTTATAGCATAGTGATCTCAATAACTTTGAATTTTTTTGTCTCAGACATTACGAGGGAAGATGAAGACAATAGTTGATACTGACATTCTAGTTGACTGGTGACATGAGTTACATAATTGAAATTGTTTACTATCTATTATAGATTAAATTATTTAAAGAAGATGAAAAGATTGTAGATTGTGAATTATTAGATGTTATTGGTGTTACATTATCAGAAGAACAGAAGAACTTCTATGATTATCTACATTTCTCACCAATTAAGGTTAGTATGTGATCTAATTGTAATACAGTTTTACATATTCTGTTTGGTATGTTTTTTGTCAGTAAATCACTCATTTGAAGATCCAAGAGCATTTCTAAGAAAGGTATGTGTACAAATTTAAATAAATGTCTAGAGCTGTATTTTCAAGTTGGTTTGTTATACTATATTATGTTACATATATTTCTGGTTTGTGTGTATTCAATGAAGGAATGAAGGTCGATGTATAAACAGAAAAAACCTGTGTACACTGTATAAATCTGCATAGCGGTTTATACATAAGTGCACACAGGTTTTTTTCTGTTTATACATTAATATACTGAAAATATATTCAGGTCATTCCTTATAACTAAATCAATTCGAATACATGTTTAAATATTTATAAATACATAAGATTTTAACATAAGGTTAATGAACTAATACTAATAATAGAGACGTCCTACAGAACAGCCAATCAGCAATAAGTAGGTCACCTATTTGTAGTCTACTGTCTACTACATGAAAGTTGACAGAGCCGCCAAATTGGAAGTTCAATAATTGAAAGATGAGTGCTAAATAAGTCCAGAATTCATGATATTGTTGGAATTTGGAGTGTGCACTTTCGAGGGAATTGGAAAATACCTTTATCATTTGTCGATTTCGGCTCTGTTAACGTTAGAAGGAATGACATCGACGCCGTGTAGTGGCCATATTTACATTCCGTTTACACAAATATAAACCGAATTCACATGACCACTGTTATCCAATCAAATTGCGTGGTACTGTGTAAACAGAATTGTGATTTAATTATATTAAAATAAATTGATTTACATAATTGATTATAGCTGAATAAATCTATATTTCCAGAACTTGAAAGTAACTCATCTCTCAAAAGTATATTATTCTTTTCAAATTCTCATTATATATGCTGATTTGAAGTATACCTGAAGTATGATGTATGTTGAGTTGATTGTATGATATTTTCCTATTGTAGATTCATCTTAGTTTCTCATTACAAAGTGGTAGTAGTGGAGATGATGGTAAACCAACAGAAATCAAATCTGATGTTGTTAATGTGTTCTTACAAAGTGTTGGTGTTGTTCTAACAGATGTACAGGATGTTGTCTTTAAGTAAGTTCATCATTTAATAAATTGTCTTCAATACAGAAGCTCAGCTAGAAGTTTTGTCCTGTAATAGAAACAATTTTACATTTTAATGTGTTTTTTTTTTTTTTAGATTAGGATATTTTGAAAGAAATCATAAATTTTACAATCAGAGTCAGTTAACCAATGAAATGACAAGACATTATGCTGGTCAGGTAAACTATACTTTTATCATCTATCAAGAGTTAGATTTTCAAAATTTATCTCTTAAGATATAAATATTTCAAAAAATTTTACATTTTACGTTTCACATTAGGTCCTATCAGTTGTGATTTCAGACATATATTCCTTGTTTCTTTATATTATAGGCTATTAAACAGATGTATGTATTAGTATTAGGTTTAGATGTATTAGGTAATCCATTTGGTTTATTACGAGGTTTATCTGAAGGTGTAGGAGATCTGTTTTATGAACCATATCAGGTAAATTAAGATAGTAACATCATATTAAATTTGAGCATGTTTACCATTTCCACAAGAATTATAACAACTCATTGGATAGATGGCACTGGAGAGATTACACAGCTTAAAGTATTGTTTTTAGTGACTTATTGACCATATTTGCCAGATGAAAATAAGACTGTGCATTAAATTAAGACATTTTTTTTCAATTAGGGATTAATTCAAGGTCCCGAAGAATTTGCTGAAGGAATGGTATTAGGTGTTCGTAGTTTATTTGGTCATGCTATTGGTGAGTTTTATTTTCTTAACTAAAATATGAAGAATTTAATCTTGAATTCAACTGTGAATTAACGCCCTTCATTTTTCTGAGACCAGTCACTTCACTGACTGTACAGTAGTTGGTTATTGAAAATATCTGGACTAAATCTAAACTGATTAGTCCATTAAGGTGCAATAAAGGTGGAAAATGTCTTTTCATGTCTGTCTATATCAAACCCATGCATCAAAAATGAATGCTGAATGAATCAAGAAATGATTCTATATTTACGTGAGAATGAAATATATACGTTAAATTTTATAGGTGGAGCAGCAGGAGCTGTATCTAGAATAACTGGTACAGTAGGTAAAGGCTTAGCAGCATTGACTCTAGATGATGATTACCAGAAAAAACGACGTCAACAACTTAACAAAAAACCTGCTTCAGCTAAAGAAGGCTTTGCTAGAGGTGGTAAAGGATTGGTTATGGTAAGTGAAAGTTTTCATTATGTTCAAATTACATTTTGTTCTTTGTAAACCTTGGATAGTTCATTGTTTAACATACATATAAGTTTATTTTCTAATTAGAGTAAATGTTATGTTTTATAAAGGGTTTTGTTGATGGTGCAGCTGGTATTGTAAAGAAACCATTAGAAGGAGCTCAGAAAGAAGGTGTTGGTGGATTCTTCAAAGGTAAATGATGATGTTTATTACATAAATCTATTACATATATATCTTACTGACATTAACTGAAAAGTATGTATAGTTTTATGTAAAAATTAGGCAGTGCATAAATGCATTTTTCTGTATAGTGATATTGTTTTTAGTTGTTTTATATGGACTATATTAAGGTGTGTTTTCTGTAATCTTACAGGTGTTGGTAAGGGTTTAGTTGGTGTTGTAACTAGACCTACAAGTGGTGTTATAGATTTTGCTAGTAGTTCATTAGAAGGAATTAAAAGGTTTGTATTGACTGTTTACTAGAGGTGTTTTTTGTACTAATTACTTATCACTGATAAAGCTGTCATGGTCTCTAAAAGGAATCAGTTTTGTAAGATGTAACAAGTGTCAGACTTTTCTATGATCATGAAATTATTTGTTATTTGGACTTAATACATATGTTGATTTTTGTTATTGATTAAGAGTTATTATTTGTTTATAGAATAACTGATATGAGTGATGAAGTTAGAAGGCTACGACCACCACGAAGATTCCACAATGATCAAATTATACGTCCTTATAATCATCAAGAGGCTGAAGGGTATGCCATATTACAGGTAGGTTTGTAGAGTCTGATTCTACATTTAACTCTGCTGCAAATTTTGACTTTTACCTTTTTGATATTAACTGTTTAAACTATATTTCAAACAAGGTCTTTTTGGAAACATGCCTGTGATGTCTTCATTAGTTCTATCTGGTGCAAAAAAGCCTTCATTTCAGTTCTTTTTCTCATTTTTAGGAAACAGAAAAAGGTAGATTTGCTTCTAGTGATGAATATTCAGCTCATGTTGTAGTTAGTAAAGATAAGAAAATTGTATTTTTAGTCACTGATCTGTAAGTACCAGAAAAATTATTTTAACTAACTCAATAGATACTAATAATGGAATGTATTCGTAGCACTAGTAATAGATAAACAAAACCATTATTAGTCTCCATTCAAATTTACATTGATTACTTACTTCTGATGTAAGACCATTGTAATATTACAGCACAAATTGCATTCAAAACATACTATAATTTACAAAGATGATTTATTTTGGTGTAATATTGTATTTTAGACGACTATTATTGGTAAAGAAAGGTGAATTATTTGGCGTCTGGGATTGTGAATGGTCGTTTGAATGGAAAGAGTTAAATGGAACTCCAAAGAAAACATCAAAAGGATTAGAAATTATATTAAAGGTATTGCATTTGATCTGTGTGTAAAACATGTATATATATTTTTACCTTTAGAACAGTTGGTTGAAGGCAAGGTACTGGTAAATAGATGATAAAACTGATGATTATTTTTTTTATTTTCTGTGGAATCATCTGTAATTTTGTTTACAATAATTCAATAACCATTGATTTTGTGTTTTTAGGAAAAGGAAAAGAAGTCATTTTTTGGTAGTAGTTCAAGTAAAAAAGAAATACCTGTATCTGATCATAAAGTGTTAGATGTAAGTAGACATGTAAAGGGTTTATAAAATTTATGAAAAACTATTTTTACTCAAAAAGGCTCTTGTTACAGCTTGACATAAAATAAATGGGTTGCAGGTAAAATAAACAAGCCTTCTTCTATTATAACCTGAAACCTTGTACTTATTTAAGATTTCTTTGCAATTAAAATTATTTTATTTTATTCATAATTGTATTCATGTGCTGATAATATATCATGGTATTTTCTGTCACTGTAACAACAGTTTTTTCATGCCAATTTGATCAAATACTTCAACTTGATTGAAATTCATGTCTGTAATTCCTTTTCTGTATTTCAGTGGATAGTAGTTCATATTGAAGAAGCTATGGCTAGAGCTAAATAAAGATTATGTAAGATGAAATCAATATATATATGTACAAGCCTGCTGTCTGGTGCTATAAGTGCAATGTATTTTATGTATCATTATACAGTAGTTACTTGTATAAATAATCATGCAAATCTAATTTTACTTTATTTGTTTTCAAGTTGATGTGTTTTTCTAAAGGATTGTTAACAAATATTTTATACGGTGAAACATTCTTTTATTAACTATATCATATATTATTGTTTAAAATAATACTCAAGTTAGTTCATTATTATCATGGTATGTTTCATTTGTTGTGATTATTTGTATTTTGTTATACATGGCAGTTCAAAATTATAAACAATAACTAATTTAATATTTAAAAAACAATAAATTGATTTCTACAAGCTTTGCATACATTGGATTTCCATTTTCTTTGACACAAGAGGGAACTGAATCTAGTTGAATCTGTAAAAACAAGTAACAGAATTTTTGCAAAAGAAGAATAAATTCCAATTGAGTTTCATATAGTGTACCAACTTGCATTCCATAGTATACATGGATTTGATTATTATATCATTAATGATGTTGAGTGGGTTTTGTTTTTGTCTGTTTTGTTGTTGTCTTTTTTGTTATTTACTTTCATCTACTTACTTGTTATTTCTTCGTTAAAGATTTTACTTTGATTTCTTAATTTGTGATGCAAATGATAATATTCTGTCCATTTTTGTTATTTTCCCAGTTTTGATGTCCCAACCACAATACAACTGCTGTTTAATGTAACTAATTGTTTTATTATGTTTTTATCAATCTTGTAACACTTAGAACTTTCATAATTTTACTCAAACAAAACGAGCTATGTTGTCTTTGAGAGATATGCCAATCTCTTTTGTAGATTAGCTACACTTAGGTGTATCAAAAGGATGAGAATGTTAACAGACATCTAATCATAGAAGTTTCTAGTAAGTCCTTGGTTCTATAGGGTACATTAGCAACCTTATAATATAAAGTTGTAACTAGTCCAATATTACTACTGATGCTGTGACATCAATGTTGATACTACATGGTAATCTTCTTTGTCATATATTTCCTTCTTTAATCTTTTAACAAAACAAACTATTAATCTTACCCCATTTGAAATGAAATCCTAAAAATACAAATATCCCTTTTTACGGAATTGATTTCTTTTGATAATGTATTTTAATTCTGAAATAGAAGTACATAAGAATGTTTTCATGTTTTCCTATGGTATATCAGTTTCTTTCTATCCATTGACATTCTTAATGATGCCTTACGTTGTTGTTTCAATTTCTTCAACTGTATTTGCTATGGTTAGTAGTGATAATAAGTAAAATAATGCTTATATATTTTTTCTGTTTTTTTCAATAAGCTTTCGATGTCTAATTAGCTGTAGTAATTGACCTATGGAATAAAGGTTTTATCAAATTTTTTTGTGAAATTAATTCTTTCCTATGTATTAAAGGGATTGTAAATAGTGACGTCATCAAACACTTAGATTTAGTGGAATTGCACGAACCACAGACATCTGATTGAAAATTGGAATGGTGCAAATTGATGACAGATACATGTGGAAAATTTAGAAGACCGCTTTACAATCACTTTAATATATATCTATATATACAGAGAAAGTATAATGATTATTTATCTTGTACAGAGAAAGTATAATGATTATTTATCTTGTACAGAGAAAGTATAATGATTATTTATCTTGTATGGAGAAAGTATGATGATAATTCATCTTGTACTGAGAAAGTATAATGATAATTTATCTTTATGTTGTTCTGAGAAAGTATAATTTATCTAGTGCAGTGAAAGTATTATGATGTAAAGACATTACCCTTAAACAACTAGCATCAAAATGAACTCCAAGCTGTTATGACACATATTACATTTATTATTAATACAAACATTTTAAATATCTATAGGAAATATGTACATGTAAGAAAGAAATGATTTCTTAATATTTGATTGATATCATAGAAAGTGAAACATAGTTAGCCAAATATAACAAGAGGAGTCATACAGTATTAACTGCTAGTTATTTTCTATCACAATTAGTAAGTTCAGAAGGCACAAAACATCACAAAATATCATTCATAATTATATAATATAGTTCAAGTTCAAATGACTGGAATACATAATAGTCATGTTAAATTGAGATCATGTAAATATGATTTAAACTATGAATCTAAAATTTCTATATTTAAAATATATCTTTGCAAAGATGATGCTTAGAAAAGATACACTTAATGGCAATCAGACAATTAAATTTTGCCATATATGTATTTAAAATGGACAAAATTGCACAGGAAAATAACTTATTGCTTCCATTCTTGTTAAGAATATTATACTAAATAAAGGTATACTAAATTATCAGATATCACAGTTTAAATGATATCTATATTTCTAATATGAGTTATTTATATTCATAACAACTGTATCACAGATCATGATATATGTCAATTGTAATAATTATGGTGTATCCTTAATAGAGCAACATTGAAAGTTCTAAACAAGTCTTTAGTTCAGGAAGCCCACAAAAGCTTACAAATTGTTCACAAAAATGTTTGGGAGTGCTATAATCTTATCAAAAAATAATTTAGCTTGGTATATGGGAATAATAATCATCCCCATCTATAGATTGCCTTTTACAAATAAACATATAACCAATGTGATGAAGACAAGTTGTGAAGAAAATAAATGCCATAGTTTAACACATGGAACTAAACTAAATTAAATAATCAAAATAAAAAATTAACAATTTAAAAATATATATTATAAATACATCGACTATATTACAAAAAACATATATTAAAAACTGATAAAATTTTATTGATGTGGTACTAGTATTATTGTGAATTTTTGATGGTCATATATGTTTTCTACAATCTGAATTAATTTTTCAATGTAATTTATAATCTCCACATAACTATAATTTGAATACCCAGAGTATCTTATTTAACATTTTGATAATGGAATAACACTGAGCTGCCTAGCTTAATTTAGAATGATATTATCAACCGTCCTTAGCTCTTTTCCACATTTTTACCCTGGATATATGTTTTTATCACACTAAACTTTCATAGCAAGTATTGCAATAATGATAGAAACAAATTGAATTATATGTGACCGAATTTCTTAAATTATCTCTTCTCAGGATGAAAAACACTGAAAGTTGCCAATATTCTGAGAAAGAAGTCCATTATAACAAATAGTGATGGTTTTTGAACTTAAAAAAAAACAGCATATCTCAACAACTACAATTACTATCTTTCTGTTGTGGTTGACGTGTATCTTCTCCTAATTTCACTGGCTCATTAGAACCAAAAACGTCTGTATTTGAGTTATGTTCTATGATATTAAAGCCTGCAGTAGGATTAGTTTCATAAAGTTTTATCAATTCTTTTGCTACTTGTAGAAAAGCTTCTTCAATACCTTCAATGAGAAATATAATTTTGAACATTAAATATTGGCCTGTTTAAAATGTGGATTAAATTGGGAAATGTTTAGGATATTTTTGGGGTTCTTTGATTTGATTTAATTGATTGATTATAAGATAATTTATAGGCTTTCTGTCTCAATGCCATTAAATTCCAACTCAACTGAAGATGATACTTGTCAGGTACTGAACCTTCTTATCCAAAACTTTGTATTACAAAATTTGTAGTGAAAGTCAGACTTCAGCAAAAAGTCATCTGTCCACAGTACAGATCGACTTTAATCCATTAGACAAGGCAAAATATATTTACCTGTATTTTTAAGAGCTGACACCTCAAAAAACAATGCCCCTATTGATTGAGCATATTCTTCAGCCTCTTCAATAGAAACTTTTCTTCCAGAATCTAAATCACATTTATTACCCAATAAACACATAACTGCAAAAATAAAACAGGTTTATTTTATAAGCCCAGTCATTTTCAGGGAGAGAGAGAGAGAGAGATACAGTTCTACTAATTTAGCTTCAGAGCTCAGCAGCAGAATAATCAAACACTTTCTACAGTATAGTTTAATTGCTTTAATGACCAGAAGATTCTGATATATCAAGGAACATTGGGAAATCAACTGAATCTACAATAAGCTCTTGAAAACTGAATCTGAATCTGATACAGATTAATATAAATACTTACTAATAGGGTAATCTACATTCTTTTTCAACTCTAGAAAAAAGTAATTTTTAATTAGAAATATTACAGATATGTATAAGTCACAAGACTATTAGTTACTAACTTCAAGATATGGTAACTACACCATCTAGCCTTAGCTCACAATTTATGTTAAGTTTTACAAACAGTAGAAATATAGCTATAATAGACCAATGATAAAAGTTGACAAGATTAATTATTTGGATAAGTATAATAATATTCTTAATACAATATGATAAGGACTGATTAACAATAATCATCTGGAATAGATAAATTTAGATATTTTATTGTGTTTAGATATAACTAAATTATAAGGCTGTCAATACTAAATTCATACTGACCTTTGACCCAATCTTTTATATCATAAAAACTATCTGGTGACGTAATATCATATAATAACATAGCAGCATTAGCTTTTCTGTAATACATAGGGGCCTAAAAAAATATAGAAAATTAATGTATTTAGTATAAACACCTGAATCTTTTGGTTAACTAAGAGCACCCTTGAGTAAAAGTTACTAGCATGTATATTTTAGTAAAACCTTCAGAGCTTTTACACTGGAAATTATTTATTGTTGTACCATACAAGGTAAACAACAAATACAAACAGATATTTTTGAAGAGTACTAGATATAGAAGCATATTTAATCAGATAACCTGACTCTTGTATATATAATATTATTACCATTGATCTAAACCGTTCTTGTCCAGCAGTATCCCATACTTGTAGTTTAACTCTATAGTTATCTAATGACCTAAATATAAAATCAATATACATGGCTATTTAACAATATTATAATCATTAAACTGTCATTATTCTGTTATCAGCACAACATATATTGCAGTCTGAATTACAGCCATTTTTGCAAAAGTCTCATATACCTGTCATCCTCTGAGTAATTGACATAATTCATTACTCATTTTAAGTAATATATTAATGACAAAGTCATCAGGGTTTCTCCACCTCAGCTTAATTCTTTCTGATTGTATATCACATAATTCCAAGTTCAACTACTACAACTGGGATAGATGTCATTACTTAAAGGACTTGACAAAAACTACTGCCTCCAAAAAAGGTGTCAAACCCAGTCCTTAAATAGCTAATGAATGGCCTTACTAAGAAAGTGAAATAAGCTATTTTAAACAATGTCTACAAGTTTACTTACAGTTTATATGTAAAGAATGATGCACCAATAGTTGGGCTAACAGCTTTACTAAACATACCACCAACGTATCTTATGACTACACTAGTTTTACCCACACCTGAAAATATGTTTATAATCTTGTCGATAATCAATAATAACTTTCAATAGCCTTTGGTAGCAAAGTGTAGCAATGCATTGGTATGGATCTATAACTTACTGAGTTATAACAGCAGTTGCAGTTGAGTTGGTTAATATATACAGTGGTGTAACCTATTTTCGTGGATATAAGGATTCAACACCGAATTTCGTCAAAGTTAAAAAAACGAAAAAAAAATTTTATGTCTTAGATGTTTCCTCAGATATTCTACAAAATAATAGAAATTGGTTTATGTCGATTTTCTTAACGAATCCTTCTATTTGACCCATATTTCATGAGCAACCAACTCGGGAACTGCGGCAGAATGCGTCACCTATTTTCGTGTACAATGTTTGATCTATAAATAAGTCTAGAAAAACACGTTGTATGGATACCGGGTGGTATAATTAACTTCTCTTAGTATTTATCTTTAATATCAATTCATTATAACCAGTGACAATTCCTTCAAAGAACCACGATTTAAAAAAAAAATAGTGACTGACAAAATATGATACGTAGCGTGATTTATTGCTAAAAGTCACTGAAACAACATAAGAATATGGTCCACTTTATGTTCCATAGAAATTTTCTGCTGACACGGAATCCGCTAGTTGATCACGTGACTTCATTCGTTGGATTATATTCTAGCAGACGACACTTGGAATTCCGATTACCGCTCGGGATTATAATGAAATTCGGCCGATAAAAAATGGTGACGTATGGTAATAAGTGAAATCCGCCATTTTGTATTTGTCAAAGTATACATTAATACATTTTACCTTGCTTGAAATTACTGGATTCATTCTACCAGCTGACATTGTACAGAAAACCCATTTTCATTAAAATAAACTAATTCGGAGGTCGCGCAAAGTCGCTCACGTAAATTATCAATCATTTCCGAAAATCCACGAATAATAGGTTTCCACGAAATTAGGTTACTTGACTGTACTTCCCCAAATTACTGGGTCAATAGAATAAAAAGTGGCTGTCATGACATGTTGAATGACATGGACTTTTAAAATAACAGAATTGCAGTGTTACTGAGGTAAACATATCGATGTGATATTTGTAGTGCCAAACTACTTAAAGAGTCTTTGGAGAAGGAAGTCAAAAGTCAAAAGGAAGGTCCATTGGCAATGTAACAGAGATTTGGCTCTAAAAATAGAAATAATACCTACCTTGAGACCCTAAAACCACAACTTTTGCTTCAAGCGATTTCGACTGTTGATCACTGACTGACATTGTTCTTCTTTAATCAAACAGTCTAAGGAATGTTTTGGTTTTAACTACTGTGTTACAACGTAAATTGTGACTAAAAATGATCAAAACAATGTAAATATCAATTTGACCTTTAACCTGTATGTAAAGCTGCCAAATTTGTATTTATATTAAGTTTCGTACCTGGATGACATGTTTTAATTTTTATCTGATTTCTATCAGATTAAACAAACATTAAAGAGTAGAACTAAATATGAATATAGTAGCTTCAAATTTAGCAGCGCTAATATCTTTAGGACAGTTCTTTATTTCTTTCAATGCTTCCTTGTAAAAGACGAAGTGGATAAAATGAATAAACAAAAGCTCAACGCAGATTTTGGAAGCCAACTATTTGAGTAAGGTTTCCGTCACACGTAATTGAACTATTTTGTCAAAATCAAGGAATGAATGCACGAAGTAGGGTCTACATAACTACATATATTTTATATTCTTATCTGTGAGTTTAACATATTGATCCTAGTTTCCAGTTCCCTGGGAAATGGTAATTTTAACTCGGTGGCTCGGGTGTATTGTCTAGTGCATGTTTGATGCATATCGGGTTTTATGGTTATATATATAATACACATTTCATTGGATAATATACTTTATAGAACCAATCATCCTGTAGTACACCTACTAATATTTTATTTGTAATTTTATTCCAATCAAAACGCCAGCAAACCCAGCTAGCGTCGACATGGCTTCTGAAATTGAGAAAGCAAAACAGACTAAACCTGGCGGTGACACAATCTTTGGTAAAATTACAAGAGGAGAATTAAATACAAAATTTATCCATGAAGATGAGCATGTAAGTAAAAATACTCTTTTACTTTTCCATTATACTTGCTGGCATCATAGAACTGCCTGGCATTGATACTGTGTAACTATTTTTGTAGGGGAAAGTGGACCTTAGTCAGCTTAGTTGGTCATTGGGAGCATAAATCTTAGACATCCTTTAAAATGAACATCCCATTTCTCAAACTTGAACAAAATCAGCGTACTAGATCTAGTGGACTTTTAAATAAAAAAAATAATGACATTGTTTTATGGATTTATCAATCACATATTTGGCGTAATATACAGTGGTGTAACCTATTTTCGTGGATATAAGGATTCAAGACTGAATTTCGACAAAGTTAAAATAACGGGGGAAAAAATTTCATGTCTTAGATGTTTCCTCAGATATTCTACAAAATAATTGAAATTGGTTTGTTTCGATTCCTTGAAAGAACCACGATTTAAAAAAAAAATAGTGACTGACAAAATAAGATACGAAGCGTGATTTATTGCTAAAAGTCACTGAAACAACAACAACTTTGTGTTCCATAGAAATTTTCTGCTGACACGGAATCTGCTAGTTGATCATGTGACTTCTTTCGTTGGACTACATTCTAGCAGACGACACTTGGAATTCCGATTAACGCTTGGGATTATAAGGAAATTCGTATTCGTTTGGTAATAACTGAACTCGGCCATTTTGTATTTGTCAAAGTATACATTAATACATTTGACCTTGCTTGAAACTACTGGATTCATTCTACTAGCTGACATTGTACAGAAAACCCATGTTTATCAAAACAAGCAAATGCGGAGGTCACGCGAGGTCGCACATTTAAATCATTAATCTTTTCCGGAAATGCACGAAAAATAGGTTAGCATGAAATTAGGTTACTTGACTGTACTAATAAGGCTTATATGTTGATATTTTTCAGTGTGTAGCATTTAATGATTTAGAACCACAAGCTCCTGTTCACTTTCTAGTTGTACCAAAGAAACCTATTGTTAGGTTAGCAGATGCCGAAGATTCTGATGGACAGGTAATTGGAATTGATTCCTTCATAAGATTTTTTAAAAACCAAGCAGATCGTCATAAGGCAGTAGGAGCATCGATCCATTGAGGGCCTTTACATGAAAATGTAATTTTGCACCATATATTATATGACAATAATGTTTTGTATTTCAGTTATTAGGTCATCTTTTACTAGTAGCCAGAAAAGTTGCTAAACAAGAAAATTTAAGTGAAGGTTATAGGGTTGTTATAAATGATGGACCAGAAGGGGGGCAGTCTGTTTATCACATACATCTACATGTTTTAGGAAAACGCCAGTTAGGTTGGCCACCAGGCTAATTTTCTACCTTATTCCTATTTGAAATGTGCAAATTTGTTTAGTTTAATTATTGGTAATTAGCTATTGTCTAATATTTGCGTTTTTCTTTCTTTTTTTTGTGTATAATTCAAGCTTTCAAGTGCTCTGTTGGCAATTATTTTTTCTATAGTTAGTGCTAAGACTAAATCTTTTTGTAAATTTTAAGTTACAGTTACAGTGCCTGTCATTGTCTCTATTTGGGAATAAAATTATTAAAGAAATCGAATGATCTATTCTTTCATTTATATTTGTTTAGACTGAAATAGGCATATCTGTGCCCTTGGTAACTCCAAAACTTATTGTCCATGGCGTAGCCAAAATTGGTCTGGAGTTTTTATTTGTTACAATTTTTTGGTTGAATGACTTTGGGTTATTGCCCTTTACTTAGCTTGTTAGTTAGTGATTATAATACCTTCGATGTTTCATCAGTATTTCTTGGTATGCTATGTATATTGATGAAATCTGGAATGAGTTCCTATTTCCCCAGTTTTTGCATTTTGACAATGGAGTGGTTTTGTTCTGCTATTGATGAAACACCATGTTAACCTGTTGTCACTAATGTTACACCTTGCTCAGAAGAGCCTCGTCGAGCCTCTGCCTCTCGTGTAGAATAGGCAGTTACCTTACGTTTTACCGGGCGCTACTGGTCGGAGAGGGATTGTACGTGATGTATTGAAGAGATTGTTTCGCCCTCTTCAAAGATATGGTTCACCAGACTATTTCCTCATTTACACTTTTAAGAAATCTTAGATATAATGTATGTTCGGAGATCAGGGACCAGGGGAGCCTCAGCTCAGAAGATTTTTGATTGTTGTGGTTTTCTATTGTCATGGCAATTACAAAAGGTAATTTTAATTTACAAGTCCATGTAGCGCTATATTAGTCGGCGTTCAGCGCAGATAAAACTTCTACTGTCAGTTAATACATGATATTCTGTATTAAAGCATCTGTCATCACAAGAACAAGCCACGTATTACAACCATATATTTAAATTTTTAAGAAATAAATGGGACTAAAGCCGCTGAGCATCGGTTGGAATGAAAGCAAATAAAACATCGTGACTTTAATTGTGGGCTTTGTGGCTAAATCATCAAAACCCTAAAAATTAAAGTCAATTAAAGGGCTGGGATATTTGTCAGATTGTTTTATTATGACATGAATATAGGAAGGCCTCTGATACATTGTTTATCATTCACTTCAGTACTTAATAACACCATTAATATTCTTTATTTGGTATCATTAATATCACAGATTTTATATTTTGATACTTTCAACCATTATTGATAATAACAGAAACATATATTTCAGTCAGGTAGGCTTCACTGTTCAAGTCAACTCCTGTTTCTGAGGTAGTAAACAACACAATCCATTAAATGGTGAACATTGCACTCTATTTGTTTTCGCTAATGGAACCAACTGCTTCTTAGAACTGCTCTTTGGCTTCTTTTTTGACTTTTTATCTTTCTTTTTCTGATCTATGTTTGCTTTTATTTTTAAAAGTTCCGAATCACTATCTTCTATTCTTCTAATGAGATATGGATGATATGACACCATCTGAAATGGAAGAGTAAATAAATCATAATAAGTAGGACGGGTAAATTCGGTTTTTATTTATTTGCAATCGATCATAGATTATGACTGCAAGATCAAATTATTCGTTTTCTGGCTGGCAGTTTTTACTAAGGTGTACTAAGGTGCACATGGCAGTATTTGAATGGTGTTTTCTCATATGCTGGTGGTTTATCGTCTATCGGTAGGTAAAGCATAGATTATAAGGTTTTTTTTTTATCAAGTAAACTGAATATGTGGGATTTGAGAGCATGAAAGGCTCTGACACAAATCGTTGCGATAGGGTAAGAGTTTCTTGGTCTAATCTCAATGACGAATCTTACGTAGTTCCGACGAATCACTGTCCTCGAATTGGTAAATTCGTTGTTAGTGCAAAAATGTAAGTATAAGAAATATAAAAGTTTGACAGAAAAATTCTTACAAGTTTTGGATTACATATATCTGTTATGTGAAAAGCCAATCTCTGGAAAGCAGTAAACACATTACTTCCGGTTTTGGCGCTTGTTTCAAAGAACTCAAAAGCCATTTCTTTTTGTGCTAGCTGTAAATAAATATTAAAACGATCTGAATATGAAAAAGTTAATTATTTTATTCAAAGTGCAGTCAACATAACAAACATGTATGTATCAAATGCAAATTTTTCATTTGGTCTGTAGTCTTATTTTAAATTTAGAAAAACATTTCAGTTGTGTAGCTGTCTGTTAGATGTCATAAGTAAGTCGAAACTTTATCTTAAATAATCTAAACTTATGAAGTTATTACTGATGAGTTTATAATGACTACATGGTAATGCTCTATCGGTTGATGACACAATACATTAACATCTATATCCCTATAACTTCGAAACCAAAACTGTTGGCATAATATACATGTTCGAGATACTGTGTGATTAAAGTAAATTTGTAAAAGTTTCGAAAAAAGCTTACCTCAAATGCCTTAACTTTTTTGACTTGTCTCTTATGATCTAAATCGGCTTTATTGCCACACAGTACAATAGGTATTGGTTCATATTGATTGTGAGCATGTTTCATCTCCTAAAATATACAGTAGTGAAAATAAATAATATAGTCAGATAGGTTAGGTGCTCGCCCGAGTCCTACAGCAGTCCTATATGCTCATTCAGAAGGTATAGCCAATAACAAAATTATGACATAACAGACCATAATAACAGCTACAACAGCATGATATCAGCCAAAGATCTCATAGGTCTATACGCATAGTATAGGGATTATAAAGAGGTTATCTAAATTTCTTATGTGTATCGGGGACACTGATAGCATCAATTTGCACCATTCCAATCATCAGACGCCCTTGGTTCCTGCAATTCCTCTAAAACTAATTGTTTGATGACGTCACTTATCGCGAAGGACCTTATGTGATAGAGCTTTAAACCTTAAGAAAACCTCTTTACAATCCCTTTAAAAGAACGTTGGACTCACCCTGTGGACACTGGTTATCCAATAAGCTAAATGAGCAAATGATGATAAATTTGTAACATCATACACTAAAACAATTCCCTGTTAGAAAAAAAATGTTCTAAATACATTATTGAACATTATATTAGGCTACTGTGATGCTAAATCCTGAATTATAAAATTTGTGATTAGGGAACAGGGTCGAATTTCATACATACATTCAAATCAGAATGCCCGTGAAGCAATATGAAATCAGTTTACTTTCTGAGTGATCGAAATGTACATAAAAGTAGTATTAAACTACTTGGTATTGGAAACTTAGGACGAAAGAGCTTGTAGTAAAAGTACTGTAAACGTGACAAGGTAATATTATTAAGATATAATCAAACCTCCCAAGGGTTTATTCAGACAATTACAATTGATGGTTTGAACAGTGAAACTTGATTTATTTATAAGAAACATTGTTCTAATTCATTTATTTTCCCGTTGGCGTTTGATTAGGCAACCTGTGAATTTCCATTAATAGGAAATTAGGCTATGAGTAGTTTTAGACGTCACACTAATAACTGGGTTAATGAATTAAGCACACTGTTTTTCATCTTTCAAATTCCTTCCTGATAACACCTTAAAGCACCAAGCTCTTAAAGATAAGACGTATGCAGTCTTCAAATTAACAAAGAGTAAAGATTATAAATATTGTGTCTCATTGGGCGAGCATTTTACAATATTATTGGTCAAATGATATTGCGATATGAGATTAAAAGACTTTAGGGGATAATGCTGACACTTATTTATTATTAAATGAAATATTGTGAGTATCTGTTTAATTATCAATTATTATCCAAACCTCACATTATTTTTCTTGTTATTGACTTTGTTTACAAATGTTTGTAGTCCTGAACGACCAGCCTCTGATGTTGGGACTACCAGAATCACTTGATGGCGTAACAATCTGGGCATAGTTCCGGTAAATAATGGTTGCCATTCATTACCGTGATATGTTGCAGAGCGCTAGCAAGCAGAACTTCAGGTAGACCGTTTGTAGTCACCATTGACAATTAGCATGTAAAACATCACCTGACAAAAACGAACCCCTATTGGTATTTTTTTTACTCATTATAAAGCGAAATTGCTTGCATAATTTCGATTCATTTCATTTCATTTATATAAAGATATAAATTATGAATCTAAAATAGATTTTATCAGACATTTCCATTAAAACTAGTGGTATATATAATATACTATTCCTGAATTAGAATCATAAAATCTCCCTCATTATTTGCGTCTAGTGGATAATTATTGACATTTTGACAACCAACCAGGGGATTATTGTCTCATTTTCTTGAAATATGATATTCTGTGTTGAACAGTATTTAGGTGCGATCGCACGATATTCAGACATTATAGATGCGTATAGTCGCAGACTTATATTAACAGAATTATTGTATAGTTTCGGGAACGAAATATATCCAGTCTGATAATGAGTACGATATAGTATTTTCTACATTATTAACAAGTATTAGTTAGGAAACCCAATGTCAACGACTGTTAAAGATTATGATGTAAACAATAAACTCACCTGAACGCCCCGATACTGTAATCTGGTTATAGATCGAAATCGCTGCTGACCAGCTGTGTCCCTGAAAACACATACGAAGTTCAATACATAATTTATTTATTGCCAAGACAGATCTAAGAGTATGCCTATGCTCACGTTAATATTACATTTAAACAAAATATAGATATAAAGTTTAAAGGCCACACTGTTTTTTGTTCCAGAATTTCGTTTCTTTTTGTCTCCATTGTAATCTACCAAGTTTTCTTCTAAATCCCCATTATTTTTAACCAATCTAAGGTATCATTGAGAACCATTTTATTGATAACGATGACGAATAGGGGGATAGCGAAACCTCAATTAACCTGTAATATTTCTCTATATGGATATTATTGTGCTAAAATATATATATTGAGACGACCAATACCTACCATATAACCAGTTGAATTAATGCCCCATCAACCTCGAATATCTTTTTTACAAAGTCTACTCCTGAAAAATAGACCACCTTTATCATTAATGCACATTCAATTGTGTAGGCCTATGTATTCATATAAGGCTACTGTGACAATAGAATAAAACTAAAGCACTTAATTTACTTATTCAAATATAATTTTGGCACCACGCCATTATGGCCTACAATACTCAAAGATGAAATTTCTGTCGGGACAGCACCGTACCGATATGCTGGCGGTATATGTATGCATAACTATTTTCAAACATGGACATATTCAAAGAACATATGAACAGGAAAATAATAATAGGTTGCTTAAAGGGACAGGTGCGCCATTTTGAGGGTTGATTTGAGTCTTGAATATGTAAATAGTCTTCAAAAATATCCCAAACTAGGAATTTCACCCCAACAAAGGTCTGGTGTGATACAAGCAAATTTTGCGGGCTCACGCCATAAAACACTTAGTTTTAGTGGAATTGCAGGAACCACAGACGTCTGATTGAAAATTGGAATGGTGCAAATTGATTCTATCAGTTTCCCCGTTACACATAAAAAAGTTAGAAAACCTTTCTACAATCCCTTTAATACAAGTGAATTATACCGACAAGAGTTTAATACAATAAAATCATACCGACACAAAATTAATAGTTTAATGTAAGAGAATTATACTGACAAGAGTTGAATACAATATAATTATAACGACAAGAATATAATACAAGAGAATTTTACTGACAAAAGTTTAATACAAGAAATTTAATACGAGAGATTTATACCGGCAAGAGTTTAATACAGGAGAATTATACCGACAAGAATATAATACAAGAGAATTATACTGATAAGAGATTAATACAAGTGAATTATGCCGACAAGAATATAATACTAGAGAATTATACTGACAAGAGTTTAATACAAGTGAATTATGCCGACAAGAGCGTAATACAAGAGAATTATACCGACAAGAATATAATACAAGAGAATTATACCGACAAGAGTTTAATACAAGAGAATTGTACCGACAAGAATATACTACAAGAGAATTATACCGACAAGAGTTTAATACAAGGGCATTATACCGACAAGAATATAATACAAGAGAATTATAGTGACAAGAGTTTTATACAAGATAATTACATGTATACCGACTAGAGATAAATACAAGTAAATTATACCGACAAGGGGTTAATACTAGAGAATTATACCAACAAGTGTTTAATACAAGAGATTTATAGCGACAAGAGTTTAATACAAGAGAATTATATTGAAAAGAGTTTCATATAAGAGAATTATACCGAAAAGAGTTTAATACAAGGGCATTATACCGACAAGAATATAATACAATAGAATTATAGTGACAAGAGTTTTATACAAGATAATTACATGTATACCGACTAGAGATAAATACAAATAAATTATACCGACAAGGGGTTAATACTAGAGAATTATAAGAACAAGTGTTTAATACAAGAGATTTATAGCGACAAGAGTTTAATACAAGAGAATTATACTGAAAAGACTTTCATATAAGAGAATTTTACCGAAAAGAGTTTAATACAAGGGCATTATATCGACAAGAATATAATACAAGAGAATTATACTGACATGAGTTTTATACAAGATAATTACATGTATGCCGACTAGAGATAAATACAAGTAAATTATACCGACAAGGGGTTAATACTAGAGAATTATACCAACAAGTGTTTAATACAAGAGACTTATAGCGACAAGAGTTTAATACAAGAGAATTATACTTAAAAGAGGTTAATACCGACAAGAGTTTGGTGCAAATGGTTTTTAACAACATATTGTAAAAGGTTATAATACAAACAGGAACGAGAAGGAGGTTGTCTATTCCCATGATGTAAGTTATGCAGGGAGCTTATATTGCCGAATAGATTATAGAACGAATATAATATTGTATGAATTCGATACCAGGTGTTTTATCTTGGCATATTATTTCTAAAGATCGCCCACAAGTATCCAGATTAAATATCAACTTACCTATTGTAGGTACCATACTCTCTCGAAATTCTCGACCCATCAAACAATTAACTAGAGCACTTTTACCAACTGATGCTTCTCCGAGCACTAATACTTTATAGGCCGCACAACAATCACGATCAATTAGAGGCATTTTGTCAATTTCGGTGAATTCCTTTTAGACTAAACAATATAGGTTTGTTAAATTAATCCATCTAGCGGAAACCTGTCTGATGTATAAAGATCGTTCACTCGGATACTGTAGAACACATATCACGTAGACCTACTCCAGTCATTAAGGTTATGACAGTATTACAGACAGTATGAATGAATTATTTCACCAGCAAAATCTGGTCATCTTAGTCTTCTTTATCCATAATCTAAAGAAACATAAAATGTTCAGGCTCAAATCAAGGAGAAGAAATTAAGAATTGAAACTTTGTTAAAGTAGGCCCCTATCACATTCCAACATTCCAAGAATCAAAACAAAATTCATTCTAGTCCACTTCAAATCACCTAGAAGAAAATAATGAATAACGCTTTTTTCTGTCCAACAAATAAAAAATCATTATAATTCAAAAATCCTAGAATGTAAACCAATCATGGAGAATTTAGACGACACTAATGTAAATTATAAAGATATAATACAGGTTTAATTCCACATAATATTTCTGTCGACTAAAATATAAAACAGCGGAATCTGTATCGCCGATGGCTTTGTAATTCTATAATTAATCTTGGCGTACCATCATTAAACTACAATTTACAAAACTACACGTTATATTTTGATTTGATTTACTATGGATCGTCGAGAAATTCCCAATTTCAACAGGGAGTTCTTCATTCATATAAATAGAGTTAAATCGATAAAACGAGTTGCGGGTATCCAGCAAGAACTGATAGTCAGTTTCTTATTCTCAGAAATATCTTGTACAGGCTTGTAATACTCTGTAACTATAACGTGTATAAAAGAGAACCGAGTTCAACAAATTGTCTACAGATAATATTAATGATATGTAAATGGGATGTATGTGGTTGAAATTTGTTAATTACGACAACTTTAGATTAAATAATCAGTTAACACTTCATTAATTTGCCTTCTAATTAATTCATTTATATGATTAACATGTAAACTCATATTCCTCACTATATTAAAGTTCTGTTTATATCAGAACCAATATGGGAGTCTAGTCAAGGGGCATAGATATTTTGCCAGTCAAGGTAACAAACGCCGAGTTTCATTAAAAAACGGATGAAAACTGAAGTCATTAAGGCATTCAAAATCTCATTTGGGTAAAAGTGTTTTAAAAAGTTTCTCAAAAACGAAAATCACAAAAGTGGATCTTGCATTAATATACACATGCATATTGTAACCTTTATCGCGTTCACAAGTAAGTATATATATATAAACACTTGATTTGAATAACACTTGAATAATACTTGGAGTAATAGCATGCATTCCCTCTGTGTCATCTCCTGATATGTCATACGGTTGTCAAGCACTTACAAACACTTGTCCAATAATTTTTCTGTGTATCAAGGGAAGGTTCATTTTGTCAGACGGTGCTCAGACATCTTTTTGATATAAAGCTACACATCAAATTTGGGGAAAATGTAAGCACCTATAATTATTGGGCACCCATTTAGCCTCATCGTAAATATGTTATTGCTCAGCAAGTAATTCACAGAATTCAGTAGGAATGTTGACTCCTTCGTCGTGCATTTGGGGAAGAGGTGGTACAAGCGTTGCCAAAACGTCACGAAGTGGTACAAAATTAACTACAACAGTGATAGGAAATGATAGAATCGTTAAAAGAAGGGTTTCATTATATTTTAGAGTTAAGTTAAGCAAATTGTTTGATTAATTGATGTTTCTAAAGAAAAATCATGTATTCTTAATCATATCATTATGTTCTAATTGCACATAATTTTAACCAATCATAAATGTCCATGTAGCCTATACAGTCTGGATAAACAAAAAAATACTTTTTGACTTTTCTTGATTAGTCACTCATATGAATTCTGCTGGTAATTCTCTTCGAATTTAGCTAATCATGAATTAATTATGGACATGTGAGACAAACTAGTATTTGTCCAAGTCATTAGAACATCTCTATTTTCTGTTCACATAAGTATTAGCATTTTTATTTTTATAAATAAGAGCACCCATCTCAAACCATGATTTATAGCCTTTTTGTAGACTTGAGAAATTGGCAATTATTTATAGAGATACAATATTAGGTTTATAGTTATAATGAAAAGATATACCCTCGTATTTAGGTTAATAGAACTTACAGTAATTATTTGATATAGGCATACTTTCTTCTTATATAAAACTTTATTTTATTACTTCCTATTAAAGCTACTATCGTTGACTAAAGAAACGTTATTACAATGATTTATTTATTTCCTTCATATATGACTGATTATCGGTCAAAAAGTTGGGTTTCGTTTTCGGTCAAATTTGGGGGTTTTAATAATAATGAGTATCCCTGAATTTCTCAGTTGTAGTAAGTGCACTTGATTTGTTAAAGATCTACTTGGGAGTTTTTAATAAAAATCTGGAAATGGTTTTATGTAAACGAATTAAAAGTGGAACGTAGGTCTTTTCACGTTGTTTAAAGTGAATATTTTGAATTTTGCTAAAACTGGTGTGCTGTCACTAAAAAAACTTGTGTTATTGATATAGATGATGGATGAAACGGCCAGCTTTCTTAAATAACCGTTAAATTAATCTATAGTCTATATGAAGAATAACAACCTATACAATTCTCGTGTTGTATTTCACAAATTTACTGGATCACCACTCGTAGCGTATAAATTATAAGATGGATTTCATTCTCTTAATGGGGTTGAAAGTATACTACCTCTTAGCAATTGAACAAGCAATTGAAACTTTTAAACTTGACCAAAATGAGTCTTTGTTACTTTTTAGTTTAATGGATATATATATATCTTATATAAATATATATTCTATTCTTTAGTTATGGCAACTGGTAAGTCCAACTGATGAATAAAATACACCAATTGACCAAGTTTGAGATTAAAAATTTTATGTCCATTTTAAGAGGTATCATTCCTTTAAGAAGTTAATCCATATACATGTACATAGATACTCAACACGATAAACTTCAATTCATTCTAAAGCTTTGTTCCAATGGTTATCTAACGTTTTCTAGTTAGATAACATTGCGTTCTTGTCCAGTGACTTTGCTTACTTTACTCATAATGCTCCCGTAGGTATCCCCTTTTCAAACTTTTTTTTCTTGAAGATGTGGTATGTATTGTATCTGAAACACATGTCGGCAGCACATTTGAGACAAAAATCAAAAGCGCTTTATAGAACAGTGACCATATAAGATAAGTGAATGTGGTGAATGGAGTGTGTAAAATATCCTTCAGTATTGCTATATAACAGTCATAAGTATAGTTCAGTTGTGTTTACCATTATTGGAAATTCTGATTTGATTCGTGACATCACCCTTGTACGAATGTCCGTCCTTTCGTCCATATGAGCGCGTTAAAACCCCTGCAGTTTTCAATGAATTCCGACAAAACTGTGTATGTTTAAATGCAAGTAAATTGACGAGATCTCCGATTGCGAATTATCAATGAATATTTTTGTTTTGGTTGTTGTCCCTGACTTAAAGCACTAACCACTATATTTGAAATGTACCTACGTTGAATTCAATCTGTCACAATTTAATAATGAAAAAAAATCAATCTAAAAAAAGGCTCCACACCTTACCTTGTTACGTCAAAATGAAGAAGATTTAGCATTAATAAAATAAAGCATATTGTTTCCGTTAAACACAGTCATAAAGGTATTCATCTATCTACTATGAAAATCTTACATTGATCTCTAGTACTATATGTCATAGATTGACTGTCAATTAAAATATCTTATAGCTTAGTCATAAAACAGTCCAAAATGATTGACAGCTTCTATTTACCTTGTCTGTAAACACTGTATACAGCGCTAGTTTAACAGAAGGAAATTAAACTGTAATGCACCTACCATCATAAACCCTAGGGACTTGTCCTCTGTATACGTCTATTCTAATATCAATCTGCAAATGGACAGACTACTTGAACTAGAACATGTGAATTCATACAGTAATAAAGTTTGTATTTTACTCGAGTTAGGCGTGCTGAACGAACAGACCCCTTTTTTTGTCTATCCCCACATTGTATTGACGTAAAAGAAATGTCACGTGGTGTTTTCATACCTATATATCGACCCTTTATTCAATAAGATTGTCGACTTTCAACACCCCCACACGTAAACCTGTCAGTTGCACTTTAAAATATTATAGTAATAAAGATGACTCGAAAAAATATACATTATAAAAAACAAAGATGAACAGGAAAATATACTGCTTTAGGACAAACGAAATGTGTGACTGGTGAGAGAAAAAACTATGGGTTTGAAAAATATTATCTGAATATTGAATATATATCTATAAAAAGGAAATCCCTTTCTTTTATTAGCAAAGTGTACAGTATTAAGGCTACATAACTGTTTTGAAGGCCACATCTCAACCTTTATTTTTCAAGACTATTTTTGTACGATATGTGGCGATTGTAGATTAAGATAAAATGATTGTAATCAACCGTATAGGGTTTCATATTAACATAATACCATTTGATTATAACATGAAAATGACCGTGGGAATTGAAATTTGAGGATGGGGTGTTCTGACAGTTCATGTTCATTATAATATAATAACAAATTATGATTAGGATAATTATCAACTTGTAGATTTAGACATAATCAAACCCTGATTACGACTTATGTATATTTTGTCATATCAACAGACATTTTTCATACATAAGATTAGGATAAGGTTAGGCTGACACATAATGTTGAATAATATTGAATTTCTCTGTGTTTTAGTTCTGAATTTGTTTTAAAAGAGTTAATTTAAAAGGGTTAATTAATAACGGAGTGTAGGCTTAGCCCACTAATTGTTAATTAAGCAGTTTGACCTAGTTTTGTTATTTGGCTTTATAATGGCTCGATTAGTTGAAACCTTTAGAAAATGTAGAAGACATTTATTTTTCTCAAATCCGTACAGTAGATTTCTATTAGTTTCCAAAAAGCATCACGAACTTATAGAAACCATAGCCTTGGCTTCGCAAAGTTTTTAAGTATTTTTGGCGTTTAAAAATTAACGATTGGATATTTTTAGATGAAGTTTCAGATACGTTAAAGAGAACAAAGTTAAAGTTTTCACCAATTTGAGCAAAAAGTCTTATATTTAAGTCTTATTATTTTTTCCGTTTAATTCTTGTTGTTCTACTGGAAACAAGAACTGCATGCACAATGTGCCAATGAATTCCCGTTATATAGGCCTAATTCCAAACAAGTAATAAGCTATGAATTGGCTTATATTTTACGCAGTAAGTTAATCGAGAAATCTTTCTTTAAATTAATACCTAATTTTTACACCTGTTTGTGGAATGTTTATCTCGAACTATGTAAACAATAGTTTCACCTGTTTCCAGAAAGCTCTACCAAATCCTCTCTAATTATACCATTTATAAACATAGACAGTTCTATTTCTTTTTATGAAGTCCTTCCTAATGTTCAATAGAAAATCAAGTCAGACTGAATCATAATACTCAACCCTCTAAATTTCAGCTATAATATTCAGTGCGTTATTTTTGTGTATTCTCACCCATTGAATTCATTTTGTCTGCCTATTTGTAAAATACACCATAATGCGATGATACGTTATTTTGATTTTTGTAACCCTTTTTTACATATTATGCTAACAAAATTTTAGATCGAGTTAACTAAATTTTAACTCAGGGTATTCTTGTCCTGCTCTAAATTGTTTGCAGCCCACCCTTAATGATTAGTGAACTGATTAAAAATTAGCGTTGTAAACAATAATTATCGATCACCACGACGTTGTTAACTATCCTATCTTACCATAGCAACGTGTAAACAAAGTGGCTCATCATATAGACGAGGACAGTTAAAAGACATCACAATCAGTAACGAAAGTGTGTTTATTAGAAGAACAGTGTAGCTTATTGTGTAGTAAAAAATGGATCAGACAAAAAGACCACTGCAGATTCCACCAGAATTTGCCAGTTATGCTGAGAAACATGAAATATTTGATACCTACAAGCGACTTCTGGAACAATTGATTGTGAATAGACCTGATGAACCTATCAAGTATATGTTGGATATTCTAAAGAGAGATAAAGAGGTACTGCCACATATCATTGTTTTAGGACCACCAGCTGTCGGTAAGAAGACTATTGCCAGAATGATTTGTGCAAAAACAAGAGCTGCTCATTTGACAGTAGACAATTTAATAGATGAAGCAGAGGTCGATTTACGTGAAGAAGCCAAAAATCATATCAATACAGATAAACCGATTCCAACTGCTTTGTGGATTCAAATTTTGAAGCAGAGATTTAAATTATTTGATTGTGTAAAGAAAGGGTGGGTTATGGAAGGTTTTCCACTTACCAGAGAACTAGCTTTAGCAATGCAAGAAAACGGATACTTTCCGCAACACTGTGTGCTATTAGAAGCTTTAGATGAAGTTCTTATTGATAGAGCTTCTGGAAAGAGAATTGATCCAAAAACTGGGGATGTTTATCATACGTCCTTTAATATGCCAGCTGAACCTGATATACAGTCCAGATTAGTCACCTCTAAGGAATATTCAGAAAAGGGAATGGTGAAGAAACTAGCAGAATATCATCGCCATATTGATGGTATAGTGAGGTGCTATCAGAAAGTTATTAAACGATTTAATGCTGACCAGCCAAGTGCCGATGTTCTTTCTGAAGTAGTAAGTTTTATTGAGAGTCAAAGAAGAAGCAATACTCCACATACACCCCGTGTTATTTTGTTGGGACCTACAGGTAGTGGTAGAGCAGTACAGGCTAGTCTATTAGCATCTAAATACAACCTAGTTGATGTGTCATGCGGACAGCTCATTAAACAAGCAATATCAGAGGAAACCAAAGCTGGATTAGCTGCTAAAACGTATGTTCTGAAAGATGTTGTCGTTCCTGACAGTATAGTGTTAAATATTCTGAAAGAGAGATTAAGTCAAGTAGATTGTGTGGTTAGAGGTTGGGTATTACATGGTTATCCAATCACTAGAGAACAAGCTGAACAGTTAGATAAAGTGGGTTATGCACCTAATAGGGTGTTTTTCCTCGATGTTCCTACTGATTCTATTATAGAAAGACTTACACAACGATATACAGACCCTGTCACAGGAGAACGATATCACCTACAATATAATCCACCTAGAACATACGATGTTAAACATCGTCTAGTTAGACACCCCAGAGATATGGATACTGGTGTTCGTAAACGAATCGCCCAGTTTAATGCATACAAAGATGAACTGTCTGATTTCTATGAGTCTTCCCAACATGTCAATGCAGATCAAGATCCCCATACAATATTTGAATCGTTAGAAAGTATGATTGCTGAACCATTGCCTAAAAGACTGTGATCAGATTCAATATTACGTGTCCATTTGGAGAATAATTTTTATTAAATAATATTACATAAAATTTGCCGCGTAAATTTTATTTTGGTCCTAATGATTAGAGATGCACCTCTTACCTCATCCGTGAATTAATTTTTTAATGATAGAACTGTTAATATATTATTACTACCACTTACTATATTGCTATTGCAATTTACTACGAGATTTACATTACAATGTGAGTTTGACCTCGTTTTTGTTGAATGTCGGTCAAAATATGACGTCAGAGATTACGTATTGTGGGAAATAGGTCAGTGCAGAAAAGCCTAAGATTATAATAGAGTTGAACTTAATGTATGAAAAGTTCCACCACGTTTGCAACATTAAAAAAAATACTTTGAAATTTCTTGCACAGGAAGGATGAGATATTATTTTACTTTATTATTTATTTGAGGCTACGAAATTCACGTTGAAAGTTTGACTTGCGTCCATATTATAATAGATGTATACGTCATTGGTGTACACTCTATGCTTGCGCCACGTAACTCACGTTCATTCATTTTATAATTGTGGGTTTCTTTTCAAACCATCCCGAAACGTAATGCAGTTAATCTATCTAATGTTAATTTTTTCCCCCAAGAATTAATTCTTTATAAACAAGTAGGCCTAGCCCTAGGCCATAAAAGTTATAATTTTAACTTTCTAACGACTACTAAAATCAAGCGGAGATAACAGTAGAGTAAAAATGAAGTAGGCAACTGAGATTTTTCATTCATTGTTGACAAAAATCTTATCTTAAGATTTTAAAGTGAATTATAAAGACAATCCAAATGCCGTGCTTGCGAGGACAGGAGGGTGTCTGAGGAGGGATGATATTTTTTGAAATTTTAAGACTGAATTCGCGCGATTTTGATGTGTAATTTTTTGTAAATTACTTAAATTGTTATTTTCAATGAATATTGCTTTTGTTTAGCATTTGTATGATCGAATGCGACTGCAAGAAGCGACAACTCTGTATGAGAAGTTAATAATGGCACGTCATGAAGCTATGACGTCACCTCCTCTTGAGTGTCGTAAGAATGCTCACGAAGTAAGAACATTAAAGAAACATGACCAAGAGTTCTAAGAGTACGATGATTCTTACACAGATCACTATCTATTGGACCATCTTAACTTTCTGTATCTCAGGTGTGATAATATAATCATTTAACCAACATCATTGTTGTCTCGGCTGTATCCATAAAGTTATATAGCGTAACATAGCTCTCCTCTACCTATGGCCTGCAATGTTGACGCTTCGCGGTGGGCCTAGTGATGCAATTAAAATCGATAAAACAGCCTTTGCATCGGCTACTACGAAAAAAAATTTCCCTTTCTTTAATCCATTCTGTTATATTATCCTGTCACGGTCAGATTTAACTTTTGAATATTTTATGTAAATTTCTATTTTTAGGCGTTGTGGAGGATAAACCTAAAGATGAAACTGGAATACCAGTAATTGATGTAAAAGGAAATATGGGGCCGCCGATTGAAAACTCCTCGTACATCAAAAACTTGGCACTCTTAAACAAGAAGAATCATAGTAGCAGAAGTCTTCAAGCTGAATATATTGATTATAAAGATATGGAAGAGGAAGTAGAAGATGAAAACTATTTTGTAATTTAGTTATTCTTCTTAACGAAATCACCTTTTTCTTTTTGTCCGAATCCCAAAGCGATCAAAGAGATTTCGGAATATGATGTTGAATTAATGCTTGAGTTTTAAAGGGAGAACAATACCTAATACCAATACCACAAGTTCACACATACAGACAACAATAAATTTATAATATTTTGTGATGTGAAGTCAAATCAAGCTCATACATAAATATCTGATATGGGATTTTCCATGAAAAAGAAAATATCACATATTGGACATATAAATCAGATTATAAAACAACAACGTTGCCCTGTCGTTTGAATAAATAATACCTGATATAAACCCATATATTAGCTTTGTAGTTTTTTCTTTTTTACTTTTCAGATTGATGATGATGATTTAACAACTGCTCAAAGATTCAAAAGACATTGGAAGAGAGTTCTTTCACGATGTCTTATTTTATTAGCTATTGTAATTTTTATAGTACTTTTTTGTCGATGCTTACTGGCTACAGTGTGTACCTTTTTAGTACCATCGTTAAAATCATCCTGTACCTGTTTATCATTTTTGCCGTGTTGCAAAGAAGAAAAAGACACAAGTAAGTAATAACGACCCGTTAAAAGTCTGGAATAGACATTATAAACCAATTTTGTCGTCGCCATGATCATTTGGAGAGACGTTGGTGACTTGAGTATATGAATGTGTACGATTAAAATGTTTCATGCAGTCGAAGAGCCTCCTGTCACAAAGGCAGCCGAATCGTTTTCTTGCTTTGATCTCAGATGCTGGCGGTTATCCTGTAAGTTGCTTCGGCTACGTCTATGCGTGCAGTAGTGTTTATTTCGATCACAAGGGTAGCTTTAGTGACTATCCAGCATAGTAAGAAAGTGTCTTGATGAACAGGTAATCAATTTAAGTTAAATCAAGATTGGATATATAAAAACTATAGTTTCCATCGTACCCAGGAGCTAAATTTGACGTTTGTACTAATTCAAGGACAATAACTCTGAAATCTTCATCAAATCATTACCAATTTCGAGTTAAAACGAGATTTCATCAATATATACATGCATACAAAGTTTCATCACAAGTTTTTTTTGCCAAATTTGACTAGTTTTTACTAAGTCAAGGGCAATAAGTCGAAACTGTTCATTTAGTTGTTACCAATTTCGAACTTGATCGAGACCTCATCAATATATACATGCATACAATGTTTCATTAAGATCAGTAAAACATTGTAGGCTCACATAACGTTACCTCAATAAATGTCTTGCCTTGATCAAAACGATAATTACCACTCTCCCTCCTATCATGTTATTGGCATCTCCATAGAAAAATGAGAAAAGAAATGTCATTTCGACTCGCACTTACGACAAATATTCAGGAATTCTTAAAGACCTTATTGGTACCAAATGGCATCTGAAATACACTACACCCTTTAATTACATTTCAGTGTATGTCAAAGTTCAAGAGTTGGGTAAAAATCTTGGAATGGAAATTAATAGAGAATCGTATGCACATCTGCTAGAAATATGCGAGGATGAAGGAATGACTGCCGTTAAACACGTCAAACGTGTATGAAGTACTTTATTTTTGCTTATTATAAATTCCAAATTAATGTGGACATCTTTTTGTTTTATTTCCTGGGAAATTTTCGGGTACTGGTCGAAGGGGTAGGCTCGTAGCCAGCCAAGTCCTTTTGGGGGTCTAACGTCCAATCAAGGGGGGCAGTTTAGGTAGTCTATCCCCCCTACCCTCCCGGAAAACTATGTGAAATGTTACGCATTACAGTGGTGCTCTCTATTGCTATTTATTGCTATCTTTATTGCTGCCGAGGTCGCCCATTGGAAGCCTGGTAAAACGATTTTCTGAATCTGGGGATCCCCTCTAGAATAGGGACTGTATAGGACCACCACGAGGAAATTGTGAGAATAAGACGCCAGGAAAAGCGATTTCCTGACATTTCCCAGCAAATTTAAGGTTCAAGATATTTGTATAGAGTCTGTGGTATGCCGCGAAGAAAATTTTGAGAATTAGTCGCCGGAAATGTGATTTCCTGACATTTCCTGGCGAATTTAAGGTTTATTTGTATAGGGACTGTGGGACCACCACAAGAAAATTTCTCATCAATATATTGTGATCGTTAACAAATACATTTTATGAAAAAGACTGCAATTTGATTGTGTGCATCATCTGCAATACAAAAAAACAGGACAAAACACAATACTGTGGAAAAATTAGCATTATCAACTTTGAACATGCCACTACCAACAACCAGATCATCGGCCTCACAAAAGACTAATGAAAGTTATGCAGAATGTGACGACCAAACTGTAAACATGGGTAAAATTCTACTAGAACTAAGTGAAATAAAATCAACTTTGGAAAACTCTATCAAGAAGAATGAAATAGTGGACATTGTCAACACTATTGTAATTTAACTTTTAGAAAATTTCAAACTGGAAATCTTTGAGAAAATCAACAGCAAAACAGACTCACTTCAAGATGACATAAATTCAATAGCAATTGAAAATGAACTTTTGAAAGAAAAATTGACATTGATGGAAAACTCTGTGGTTGACCTCGAAGCTAATCTCTCAGCAGCTGACACCAGATCAAGGGAGGCTCTCAAAAGTTCAAACTACAATGAACAGTACTCAAGGAAGAATAATATAAGAGTTCTAAACTTAAAAGAAAGAAAAGGTGAAGATCTCAAAGATGAAATAATTCAAATAGCCAGAAAAGACTTACATATTGATCTTAAAAAGAGTGACTTTTTGGCTGCCCACAGAATCCCAGGAAGAAAGGATCAAGATAGACCTGTTATTCTGAAACTAGCCTTCACAGAAATAAAACAAAACGTAATGAAAAATAAAAAGAAATTGTGTGGTGCTACCAAATTTTTTGATGACATTACCAAAAGGAACCTGAATCTGATTAAAGACTTAAAAATAGTGACAAATTCGAAAATGTGTGGTATTTTAACTGTGCAGTTTACTGTAAAACCTCCCCTGAAAGTGAAAAAAAGAAAATTGATCTTTTTGATCTTGTACAAAACTATCTCAACAACATTACCTTCCCAATCTCTACTTCATAAATGACTGGTGTTATCCTCACTGTAGACTGAATACAATACATCCTCTCCCTCGTCTTTTATAAACAACTACATAGGTAGAATTTTTGATGATCTAAAACAACTTTTAACAATAATTTACAATTTCTGAAAATTGTTCATTCATGTTTTAGGTATGATTATGTCAAACCACAATTAATTTCTGATTGATTGTCTCCCCTGTTTGACTGTGAATTGTTACCTTACTATAATCTTTCAGAGGAACCAATCCCAGTGACCTTGAATATCAGGAATGCAATGTGCTAGATTGGTCAACTTTCTTTAAGTGTCAACTGAAATTCTATATTGAAAATTGTTTATTCATGTTTTAGTGATGATTCTGTCAAACCACAATTTATTTATGATTTGATTGCCTCCCCTGTTTGACTGTTAATTGCAACTATATTATAATTGTAATATTTCAGAGACTTTGTCAATCAAATAGCTTCTTAACTGTTCATGAATTATTTAACTTTCCTTGTAATGAATGTAGGAACTCACAATATTCTTAAACAGATCGGAAGCACTGACCTATAGAAAAATGCACATGCTGTATGTACTCAATTTCTCTCGTAAATTTCCATATCTCTCACTTTCTATTTGCTTTTCTGGCAGTACCGTCATTACCTTTTATATTAACTTAACAATCGTCCACATGTCTGTCCACTTCAATCGTATATTTGTCCGTCATGTCCATTACTTTTAAAAGAAACTTTTTAACAATTACTAATGGGTGAAGTAAGTATTATGTCAGTGAATTGTCAAGGTTTAGGAGATTCAGGTAAAAGAAGAGATGTTCTGAACTCCCTAAAATCCAAAAACTATAATATTTACTGCCTCCAAGATACTCACTTTGACCGTCTACAAGAAAATTTTATTCAGACCCAATGGGGCTATAACTGTATTTTTCAGTCTTATCGCACCAATGCTAGGGGGGTAGCTATATTTTTCAATAACAATTTTAACTATAAACTACATGATACTTTAACGCTTGAAAACACAATATTGTTAGACATTTCAATCGAGGACACCCGTTTAACATTAATCAATCTGTACGGTCCTAATGATGATAACCCAGCATTCTACGACAAATTGTTCCATAATATTGAACATATTGGCAATGAAAATTTTATTATGTGTGGGGATTTTAACTTAGTTTTAAACCCGGAATTAGACAGCAAAAAATTATAAACATTTTAATAATCCTAAAGCTCACGAAAACCTGCTAAAATGGATGGAAACTTATGAGGTAAAAGATAGTTTTAGGGAATTATATCCTTCGCTAATAAGGTACACATGGAGGAAATCAAATCCACAGAAACACGCCAGACTTGACTTTTTTTTAATATCAAATGAGCTCACTAAGTATCTTTCAAAACATAAATTTGAAAACAGTTATCGATCAGATCACTCGGGAATTGTATTACAAATAAAATTCAAAAAATTTGTTAAAGGAAACGGCATCTGGAAATTTAATAATAGTCTACTTAATGATTTGAACTATGTCCAACGCGTGAAAGAAACCGTTAGAAAAACAAAATGTCAATATGTCGTACCAGTCTATAACTTGGAGAACATAGATAAAATACCAAATAATGAATTACAATTTACTGTAAATGATCAAGATTTCTTAGAAATTCTATTAATGGAAATTAGGGCCAACACCATTTCTTTCTCGGCGTATAGGAGTAAATGTAGAAAAGAGAAAGAAAAATATATTTCCGACCAAATTAAAATTTTAGAAGTCTCAGTAGGTGTTTCTGAGTTTGAAAAAATTGAGAAATTGAAACAAGAGCTGGAAGAAATAAGAAACTTTAGGTTAAAGGGACATTTTATCAGGGCTCGCGCAAATTGGATCGACGAGGGGGAGAAGCCATCTAACTATTTCTGCAGTCTCGAATCTAGAAATTTTGTCAGTAAGCACATCTGTAAATTGGAAAATGACTTAGGTGAAACAATTGACAACCAAGAAGATATTCTAAAAGAAACAAGAAATTATTATAAAAAACTGTATTCGAGAAGACATTTTTTGAATAGCGATGACGTAGCAAACAAATTAAAAAAACCTACCAATTAATACTCTAAGCGAGACGGAAGCAAATGAACTTGAAAAAGAAATATCTCAATCAGAATTGTTAGAATTTTTGAAACTGACTAAAAACAATAAAAGCCCTGGATCAGATGGCTATTCCTTTGAATTTTTAAAAGTCTTTTGGATTGATATAGGACACTTTATATTTAGGTCCCTATCGCACGGATGTTCGGAAAAACAATTATCTATCACCCAAAGACTTGGAATAATAACATGTATCCCCAAGAAAGATAAAGACAAGCGCTTCCTAAAAAACTGGAGACCTATAAGTCTATTAAACTGTACATACAAACTAGCTTCTGGATGCATTGCCAATCGATTTAAGACAGTTCTAGATAAATTAATTAACAGAGATCAAACTGGGTTTATAAAAGGACGTTTCTTAGGGGAAAACATAAGACTAATTTATGACATAATGCACTACACCGATTTTCATGATATTCCTCCCCTTTTGTTGTTAATCGATTTCGAAAAAGCTTTCGATTCCATTTCATGGGATTTCATTTTATCTGTGTTAAATATTTTTAAATTTAAATCTTATATGAAAGATTGGATTATTACTTTATACAACAACTCAAGTTCTTGTGTCCTCCAAAACGGTTTTTTATCTGATTCATTTTATCGTGAAACGAGGATGTAGGCAAGGAGATCCATTATCGCCTTATATATCTATTTTATGCGCCGAGATTTTAGCAACTCTTGTTCGAAATTCTAAGGATGTAAAGGGTGTAAATATTTACAATGAGGAGTATAAACTATCCCAATACGCGGACGATACAACTTTTATTTTAGACAGATCACCTGAATCAATAAAAGCCACTTTAACAATACTAGACTTTTTCGCTGAAATTTCTGGCTTGAGAATAAATTATTCCAAAACAAAGGCAATTTGGATTGGAGCGAAAAAATTTTTGGAGGAAGTTTATCATCATGACAAATGGAAACTATCGTGGGGGTCCACAAACTTCGATTTTCTAGGATTCAGGGTTACATTAGAACTAGATAGTATTTCCAAAATAAACTTTGACTTTGTATGTAATTCTATAAACTCTACTAAATCAATGGTCAATACGTTATCTAACACCGATTGGTAAAATAACTGTACTGAAATCACTTATAATTCCGAAATTAACTCATTTGTTTATATCTCTTCCAAACCCTGAGCCAACTCTTATTAATCTCCTCAACACAAAATTTTTCAAATTTATTTGGAACAACAAACCTGAGAAAGTCAGTAGAAAATGTATAAAACAATCTTACAAAAATGGAGGTTTGAATATGGTAGATTTAGATAATTTTATAGTTTCACTTAAAACAACATGGATAAAACGTCTCATCCTATCAGAGAGTAAATGGGGCAAATTATTTGAATACAGTACAGGTCTAAAATGCGATTTTATTTCTAGATTTGACTATTCCTATCTCGAAAATAAACTAGACAATATTAATAATACTTTTTGGAAAAATGTTATCACCTCATGGATCCGAGTAAGGAAAAACATTAGCGCTAAGTGTAAAGCGGACTTAGGGAAAACAGTAATACGGCACAATTCTTCAATTAAACTGCTCAATAAGCCACTATTTTACCCAAGATATTTTAAACACAATATTATTTATATCTCAGATTTGTGGAATGATAGTGGGGATTTCCTTAATTATAACGATTTTTTAAAACTGTACCCAAGCTTAAAAACAAATTTCCTTGAATATACTACCTTAATTAAAACTATTACGCTATGTACAAACGAAACATTTGAAGAAAAAGAAAATGAACCTCTCGTGCTACTACGGCCTTTTATTCCATTTCACATTCAACTGTTGTTCAATTAATGTAAAGGTAGTAGGCATATTTATGATGCTTTAACAGAAAATATTTCGATTAAGTCACAAACCAAATTTGAGGTACTAGAATACAAAGCGAATGATTGGAGCCTAAATTACATTTTACATTTTAAAATATTACAAAAAATTCGAAAATTAATTGGTTTCAATACCGCATTTTACATCGCATTTTACCAACAAATACTTTTCTCTACAAAATTAAACTAGTCGAAACTGAATTATGCACCTTTTGTCAAAATAGTCCGGAATCTTTAGAACATCTCTTCTATGATTGTCTATATGTAAAATCCCTATGGGATAAGCTTAAAATTTACCTTTCTGGAACTGTGTTGTCATTAAAAACGGTTGTTTTCGGATCTAACTTATTAGGTATACCCTTAAATTGGCTTCTTCTTCATACAAAATTTTTCATTTATCGTTCAAGGATTAATAAAATCAAACCTAACCTAATAGCATTAATAAACTATCTCCTAGATAATATCAAAGTAGAACTATATTTATGTAAACACAAAAACGACATGTTTTTAAATGCACAATGGGATAATATTTTAGAAATACTGACAAATTTTGATCATTAACTGAACAGACGCAATTATAAGGAAATGACGGTATGGTACTCTTTCCTTTCATCTTTCCTATACTGTCCACTTGTTTCTGTTTCCATTTCTTTATCTCTCACAAACTCTGTTCAATATATGGCATAGACTATACAACTATATAAAACTATAGATATTGTAAAATTATAATGAATATTAATGTGCTGCTTATATTGTATATATTACAGATATCTGTATTGTATATGTTTTGCCAATAAAATTTAGAAAAAAAAAAAAAAAAAATTTTTGATAATTAGAAGATTAATTTAAAATTTAAGATTCAAGATTAATGTACAGGGTCCCTGGTATGCCGCAGAGAAAATTTCGAGTCACAGATATATTATAAGGTCAGTTTGTGGGACAAGGGAACTTTTTTTTTTTAAGATTGAAACGACAATTAAAAGGAAATAAACATTATAGTTATTCTTCTCTGACTCTGAATAATGTAACAATCGTTGAGACTATTTGGGTAACATGAAAGGGGCCTACTATTATCTCTTGACCTCTCTTGTGCAATTTATCGATACCCAGATAATACCAGAGATCATTGTGGGCCAATTTCCTTATCGATGTATATCACGACTATAGATAATATCTATTCATATACATGTATTTACAAACTATATAGTGCATGGTCATTTAATTGAATGAAGTAAATATGACGTCCAGGTCAATTGTATGAATGAATTGAATTTTCTTCAATGGCTATTTTTCATTTCAATATATATGAAAGAAACTAAGGGGGGAGGATCACCGCCCCTGGTAGCATCAACGTTCTTCTGATATATCAAATCTTGTATCACAGAAATCAGTGAGGTGACTGAATTGTAGGCCGGCGAATACAACCAATTATAGCCCTCGACAGAGAAACTGGGAACATTTCTTTTTGGTTGTCGAGGAATCCGGTTGTCTGTATTCGCTTACATACAGTCTAACCAAACCGCTACAATTACACACTTCCGGAACACAAGAAAGGTCGCTATCGTAGGTATAAGATGGTTCCGGTTCTTGCATGTATTTGTAAGCCCGTTATGCAGGTAATCAAATGAATGTTTACAGGTTACAGTAAAATTACAAAACGATTTTATGAAACGAAGTTTGAGTTTACATAAGAAGTAGACATCCCAGTTGCGTATGATAAAAGTAGAGCTACCGTAAAATGTATTATAAAAGCGAAAGTAGAATTTACCGGATGTTGTTATAAAAAGTGTGTCACGTGGGCTTAAAATACACATTATCGGGTGAAAATAGATCAAATTACCATCTTAATTGGGGGATTAATTAATCAGGCAATGATAATATTATTACGTGATGAGATTAACGCGTGTTACCGACAATGAAGATACAAGTGATGATAGATATTTTGGTTGATTTATGGTAGAGAATTTGAACACTGAAAACGGTAGGTCCCGTGAAAATTTAATCAGGAAAAAAAACAAAAATCGGTAGAATCGGGTATCCCGCCGGTAGAGCGGTAGACAACATGCAAAAGCGGTAGAAACCCGACAAGATCGGTAGATTACACATGTATGATTTGTATTAAAAATATAACTTGACTTAACATTTAAAAGAATAATGTTCTCAAAAATATAAAAAACTAAACCATAAAGGCAAGATGAAATGAAATGCCATTTACCAATGACCAAAAGTCATGGTCATAAGAAATAATAATAATAATGTGCCATTAGATCCATCTATAATCCTATATTGAGTTAAGTCTTTTTGGTCCTATTACTTACATAATTGCAGACAGTTCCCTTTTAAGTTTAAAAAGCTCATTATCAACTACTTGATAAGTTATAATTATATATTCATCTGTTTTCTATTTCTTTTATCAGGAATGTGACTTCTCTAAAATCAATAATCTTTTGATAAAATATGTCACATTTTCTGCAATAAAAAGAATGGTTAAATGTATATTGGTTACTCTGTTCATTTTAAGGAAGTTGTTTGAGGGTGCTTTGGACATGATGGATTGCTTGATGGTGGAAACAATCTGGACTGTTGACCTTTTAAAGATTGATAGCCATTTTGAATGCTTAAAGTTGGCCCCTTGCTTAAGCTGGTTTCTTAATGAAGGGCCAAGCCATGGTGATATTTCAAGCCATGATGATATTTCAAGTCTAAGGCATACCTTTTGTGAAATAAATGAATCTTTTGACTGGGTTTCCTTACTTTTTCAGGATACTTCTCGAAATTTCTACTTTAAACTGAAGTCCAGACATGTAGGCCTACCTATACTGCTGGTTGATTTTTTTTAAGATTTACTATATTATGAGCTTGATAAATATAATACATGTAGTTTTTTTGTCACCTTGGGTAAAGATATAAATACGTTGTTACTTTTACCTTGTAAAATATAGAATTTTTTAGGTTTCTCCCACACGACACCAAGAAGATACACAGGTATACCCATTATTAAATATAATAAACATATTCCTAGTTCTTTTGGTTTTCTATAGACAGACATAGCTATCAATATTAATATCAGAATAAGCATCAATATTGGTAAGACTATAGGCATCTGAAAATACATAATTAGAACTAACAGAATGTTAACTATTTGTATGTTTTAAAAAAAACTGATGATATGATATGGATAGAATGTAGGTAATTAGGTCACAGGTAAATCGGTCACCGGAAATTTGGTCACAGTAAAAAGGTCACACGGTAATTTGGTCACAGTAAAAAGGTCACACGGTAATTTGGTCACAGTAAAAAAAGTCACACGGTAATTTGGTCACAGTTATACGGTCACATGGTAATTTGGTCACAGTAATAAGGTCACACGGTAATTTGGTCACTGTAAAAGGGTCACACGGTAATTTGGTCACAGTAAAAAGGTCACATGGTATTTTGGTCACAGTAAAAAGGTCAAATGGTAATTTGGTCACAGTAAAAAAGTCACACGGTAATTTGGTCACAGTAATACTGATTCACATCAACCGCTTGTAGTTGATAACTAGATTCAATAAATGGTGGAGGATGGGCAATGTCACAACTTAAGTAGGGTTCTTTGGACTAATTGCTCTGTCCAGATGCAGTGTCATGAATCCTTCGACACTCCGATACAGTCCGACAAGACATTTGAGACTTGATATTTGCAAATTGAAAAGCACGTTTTCATCACACAGACTGCAATCTTGACTACATTTTCGAATTTACCACTGAACGTGGAATTCATATTTCCGCAGAATTGTATTTCTGGTCCTCATATCGATCAAGTGGCGTTTGAGACTGAAATAATAAACGGTTAGGCCTATGTGACCTAAATTTATAGTGGCATTGTCTCGATTGTTTAATGAACTAGTCTTTAGATCAATTTGCCTACCAAGCCATTTCAATCTTGAAAGGTGCTACCAAGACATTTCAATCCGCGATAAGATTTGCTGCTGGTGGGCCTTTAGCCTTGTGGGCATCTGCTCGTATATATATTAGCACCGTTGCTCGTAAATTTCCACGCCTGTCCCAATGACCTGAGCGTTTTTCAATTTTCGGGTAGGGTGAGATGGGCGCCCTTCAGAAACGTGAGATACGTGCGAAGCATCTCACTCTACCCCCACCCGGAAATCGAAAAGAATCTGCTTTGAAACGCTCACGTTATTGGTACAGGCACGGAAATTTATGAGTAGTGGAGATTATATATAAAATACATATCAAATCAACTTCATTGCTGAAGTCAATACTGGATGATTTCACAGGCTGCATTCAGTGAGTGAGAATTCTGTAATTTGGAATGGCGAGAGTCGGCAAAAGTTAAACGGTGGTATGGCTTGCAAGCTTAAAAGGCATACCGGTGGCGGGTTGTATCAGCAATAACTATATAGCTGCAGATTGACAGGTATACTAAACACTGTTCGACCGTTCAGGGCCCCACAAGGTCCATCCATCTCTGGCAGAGGGCAAGCAAAACACTATATTATGTATTATGAAATAAATATCACTACACCAGTTACCAGTAATTTCATTTTACTAGTTTTGCCTTGACCAGATCACTGTGTGACCATATTACTGTGACCAACTTACCGTGTGACCTTATTACTGTGACCAAATTACCGTGTGACCGTATTACTGTGACCAAATTACCATGTGACCCTTTTACTTTGACCAAATTACCGTGTGACCTTTTTACTGTGACCAAATTACTGTGCGACTTTTTTACTGTGACCAAATTACCATGTGACCTTATTACTGTGACCAAATTACTGTGTGACCTTATTACTGTGACCAAATTACCATGTGACCATATTACTGTGACCAAATTACCGTGTGGCCTTTTTACTGTGACCAAAGTTCCGGTGACTGAATTTCCTGTGACCTAATTACCGCGCCCCTATGGATAATGTCAGTTAGTGAGAATATTAATAGCATCTTGGAATTGATGAACTTTATACTTTTGTCAAATACTGATTTAAATTCTGAAAAGTGATACAGAATGTGGTTAATTTGATGAAAAAATTATATGATTTCAGTCTTTACTAATTTGAAAGCTACCAGAAGTATCTTTTATTTTACCGAGTAATAATACCATATTTGAAATTCAACAAATGTTGTTTAAAAGATAAACTATGAAGTAATGTATACCTTTAAAGGTCTAGGAGCATCTGGAAACTTATATCGTAAATATAGTGAACACACTAACACTGTAGATATCATTATTGATGCAAATAAACTCATAAAATCAATAAACGATACAATACTGCCACTTAATAATACACACATAACTGGAATACTCTGAAATACACAGTAAATATCTTCTCCATTATGGACTAGAACAGATAACTAGTTTTGATATTGTCATAACTTTCTATATTCTGGACATGAAGTTTATGAGAAAATTACAAATAAAAAAAAGTTGCCTGTTGCCTGATATACATGGACAATGCTGATTTTACAAAGTGTTGCAATTCACAAGCAACAAAGACAGTACTGTTCATTTAAAAGGTCCATTTTTAGATAGAACCTGGGATTATTCCATGATATAACTAGTATTAAATTATAAATAATCTACTTACACAGCCTATTATAGCTGGCCATGGTGTTAAATATTTACAACTTATCATCTGAAACAACTTGGGCATATGTCCTACTCTTGATGCAGCAAACAATATTCTATAAAAGAAACCCAATTTTAAGATTAAAATATGCTAACATTAAGCAGCAAAAAAGTGAAATGTAATTTGCATCAGAACATAAGCTATTTTTAAATAGTTTAAAAAAAAATAAAATACTTGTCCCAACACTTTTAGTGATTATAATAAATAAATGATTCGGGATAACTATTGCATAACTCATGGATTTTATCAGTCACTTGTTTTACAGGTCTCAGGTTTTTTTTCGTTGCATTTTGATTTATATGTGATTTATATGGTACAAAAATTAATCAACACTGTAGACTTAACCATATTCAAAAGCTAATCAAAGATTCAACTACAACAAGAGGGCTGAACTTGTAAACAAATGTAAAGAAAGATATTCTGCTTGGCATATATACGCCAAGTCTGAGATACCACATCTGAACTGAGACATCACATCTGAACTGAGACATCACATCTGAATCTTTCAACTTTTGAAAAATTGAAAACTAAATCAATTGTTAATGTGAAAATGAAGTTCTTACCTTGGTTGACCCAAAATGAGCACATTTAAACCCCCAATAGAACATAATGCAACTAGTATAGATATTGTGAAGCCAAGAGCTGGGTGAATGTGCTGCATGGCAACCTAAAATATATGTATAATTGATGATTAGTTATATTCAAATATCATATATTTTGATATTTTGGCTGTCTATCCTTAAAATGATTGGATAGAGTTTACCATGTTTATCCATTGTATGGTATATTGAGGAGAGAACACTTTACTTTCTAACCACCTGTTCCAAGAAACTGACATCTGATGCAAGAGTTCCCATTACACAAATACTTAACCAGATGTTGTCATTATGCTTGAATTGTATTTGGGACAGTGATGTCATAACTCGTCATGTAAGTAGAAAGATGAAAATATAAATGTCCTTCATACACAAACAAAATATAATACCTCTTTCTTTTAAGTTTGATTTAAACAGTTGAACTATTTGTTTATATTTCATTGAAGTGACTTTGGTTTTCAAATATGGGTTACACACAGGGTGTCAATATGAAAAATTCAAAGCAACATACTTTGTATATGTATGTATAGTTATTTCAATTTTCTAAGCATACTGTAACTGTTGTTAATAATGTTATTTCCATACTTAATTGTAGATATCTTACCACAGCTACAGCATCTGATTTTATAATTTCTCGAGGAGTCAGCAGAATACAATAAGTAAAATTTACCAATACAAATAAAACTGTTACAAGTGTTATTGATAACATCATAGATCTTGTTAATGTTCTAAAATATATAATTATAAAAGTTTGTATTCTAAGCTGCCGAGTTGACCAATTTTGAGGATAAATGTAGAAATAGTGTCAAATTTGGCTGTTAATGGCCTATATATTTTTGACACAATTTTCAATGACATGGATTCTGACACAGATCCAATATTTGTATTCATCTATGGGTACTATGCTTTAAGTCTAGAGACATAGAACATTTGATACTTAAATGGATAAATTATTCAAAGATTTTCAAAGAAATTTACACATATGTCATTGAATGTTCTGATCATTGAAATAAAGAAAATAAGTAAACTTACTTTGTTGGATTTTTAACTTCTTCAATTAGGATAGTAACAATAGGCCTTTAAAGGGATAAGAGAATTTTTTTATATATTTAGCAGAGATCATTTATATTTTCATTTTTTTTTTACCAAAATTAATTGTTTAGCCGTGTTGTCATGTGTAGGACGTCTCCATAATTATCTATGTTTGAAAATTACATTGACCACTCACCTTTTTTAAGACTTTGCAATGAAAATTTACGCAAAAGTCTCTGCTTTACACAGTTTGATATATGTGCCATAATTGACATGTATGAATAAATAAAATTTTCGTAGTCTATATCAGATAATATAATCAGATCAATGTCAGAATACATATTGAAATTATTACTTACCAACCACCGTAGTTATAAAATCCTGAGAAAAATGCCAATGCGATGCCACCAGGATCTATACTATCTACTCGGGTTATCTCAGACAGGTAATTTTCTGTATTTAAAATATAATATCATAGTTGATTTGATAATTACAGAAATACAACTTTCTAATTTCTCAAACATCATGTACAGGCACAGATCAAGTTTTCTTGGACAATCTTTGTAAGTTATAAATTCCAGTATATCACACTCATTGAACTTGATATAAAATACAACAACTCAACAGTTGACTGATATGTGCTACCAAGAAAAATGATGTGAAATTCAACTAACAATGAAAATCTTTATTAATTCAACACATTTATATTTCTTGATTTTCAATCAGATGCATACAGTTAAATTTGATTCATATCCAGCTACTATAGCAGTTCGAACTAGTTTTGGTTTTGGGCTCTATAATGGCTTGATATCATTAGTTAAAACCTTTAGAAATACACAGACATATTTCTCTACAATAAGGCATTTATTTTATTTAAAACCATACCAGTACCACAGCCACCAAAAAGCATAACAAACTTAAAAACCTTACGTAATGTTTTTAAATATTTTTGGCATTTAAAAATCTATTACACCAAACACTATGTTCTGGAGAAACATATCATATTTATGAACCAAATTAAAGGAAGCATTACCTTTATTACAGGGACATTTTGGGGCATTGATTTTAATCTTGAATATATGCAAAGTCTTCAAAAATACTAGAAATGTACAATTATCGCATAATTCCTTAAAAATACTTCAAACTAGGAATTTTACTCACTTTTCCTATATATGTCTATATATCAGAGTACCTTAAATTGACGATTCTTCATTTTAATATTCAATTGGGTAATTCTGGACACACAAGGATTTGAAGGCTCAAATTCAACAGTGAACTTTGAACATTATAACTGACTGGCTTAGCTAAAAAAATTCCCGTTTCTGAGTATTATTGGTGAAAAAAAATGGCCTACCTGTCCCTTTAAACTGAGTAAATCCAACCACTATGATAATTAATAAAGCAAGTATTTTAGCACCACTTAATATCCCTTGAACTTTAGTAACAAACTTCACATAGGTACAGTTAAGTGCAATGAATAATACTGAAAAATGAAATAATTAAAAGGATTAAGTCTACAAGTACAGTTTAAATGTTTTCAAAAAGGTTATTCATGAGCTCTTGTTTCTTTTTAAGATAAATTGTTTTATAATATGAAGATTTATAGAGGAATCTTATCAGTCATGGCTGGTGAGGGTATAGTTGTACTATCTCAGAAACAAAAACACAAAAATATAATGAGATTGACATTTCTGTCATTTTTATAATATACTTCATACTAACACAGAATACACACAGCAATCAATTTAACAGCTATATCAGGGAAAACACAGTCTGGAACTATAGCACTTAAAATATACAGAACAGCTGAATAGGCATTTATAGACCAGGATGGACCAATAATAAGAATTACAAATCCCCACAGAAAAATAAATCCACAAAAAGGACCAAGAACTTCCATTATATAGAAATAGGCTCCTCCTGCACATGGTAAAAACAGGGCTACTTCCAGAAAACAAAAGGCAAGAGCACCATTAAGAATACCAGAAATCAACCATACTATCAGTGCTAACATAGGAGATCCTGCATATTGTAAAACTGCAGGTGGAGAAATAAATGCTGCTGATCCACCAATATTTGTTACTAGGATTGCTGTGGCTGCCCAAAAATTTATAGATCGTTTTAATCTAATTTTTTCAACATCCAAGTTTGTTTGGTTTGTTAGTTCGCGAGAAGGCATATTGATCAATTATAGAATTGAAAAAAAGCAACTTTAATCTGATATAGAACTTATTATATCATCATTATATCAACATAATATAAGGCTTACACCACACACAGTTAAATAAAAATAAAACGAGACACACAGTTCACTTGGACTATTATAATATATACAAACACTTCACATCATGTTACCATGGTAACTTCTTGCCAACTCAATGGTTATCTCCTATTTCCTTTTCTGAAATTCAAAGGTTTTTTTTAACAGGTAATTATCCCATAATATATTGAAGGTTTCACTAAGACCTGTTAAGGAGACTTTGAATTGTGTCACTTTGCCTTAATTATGTACTAAAACTGTTCATAGAAAATCTATCAGTAGCTCAAAGTTTTACAATAAATCAACATTGAATCTATATAATAGTAGCCTAGGCCTATTTTAAAAAAATATTTCACTACTCTAAGCTTAACTAAAGCCTTATTATATACTTATGCACTATGACATTTTTTTTATATATCTATACTAGGGTTATAATGGAAAATCAATACAGCAGAATGCTATATCAATCAATCCATCCATTAGGCTATCTAACACTAAGACAAGATAGAACGTTTCTATTTATATGGCCATTTGCCATTGATTACATAAAATAGGCCTATAGTTCGACACACATAAAAGAAGGCCAACTCTACATATTATATCTTACATACCCGTGTTCATTTTATATGCCTGTTCACCACTTCTTTCAAAACGTCTTACTTGAGCAATTTATAGGCTTACGACCTTGACAGTTCAGGCGGGAATTTTAAACGTAGGCTAACATTGTAAAAAATTATTTTCATTTCATTGTAATAAAGTTGTTCTATTTAGGCTTACCTTGGAATTAGCTTATTTTAGATAATTTGATGATCACATGTCTAGTATGTTATGGTTAGAAGACTCTGCAGAACTTGAAGATAGTGGACCACAGCCATAAACGCCCACCACGGCATGCGCATGGTAAATATTCAAGATTTTGGGGCAAGGATATGTATACACATACCGAATTTCATTTGAAAAAATCTAGTTTTTAGAGCGTTTAGACGGACATGGGTGCCGACAATATACGTCTACACGGACAGATGTGGGCGTATAAAAATGGAAAGGGACACCACCAAATATACTTCGAATCTATGTCAAGGGGTGGGGGGGGGGGGGGGGGGGGAATTGTTTCAAAGTTCTTTATTTTTTACGATGAAATAATGCATATTATCACAAAAGTTGTATTCTTTGTCCTTTGGATGCCCTTTATTGTTTTATTCTCTAACAGTCAAATATTGTCAGAGGATTTTTCCTTTCATTGCAAATTATCAAAACCATGGTTAGGTTAGATATTCTTGATCTTTTGGGCTAGGCATATATTCTGTTAGCTGAAACATCTGCCCCCATTCCAGCCTCTGATAAGATATTTTGATAGTTGACAAGTGTAGAGTCGGAAAATCAAGGTCCTGTTTTGTGGGGATTTTATGCACGTCTGAAGGTGCCTATTTATATGTATCCAGTCTGCCTAACTCATATATATTCAAAAAGATGGATTTTTGTAGTAGTCGTCATAATCTCCTTACACTATATATTTCACGTCTGTGGTTCCATCAAAGTTTTTTTTAACGAAACAAATCTCTCGCTGGAAGATTGAGTGCGCAACACAACGGTCAAGGGGTCAAGCAATGTTGCTTAACACTAATTGTAAAAAGAGCACCTTCAGAGGGAAATCTACATAAACAGGGCGTGTTTTTCTGACCCTACTCTAGCCAACAACTGTCTAAATAGGAATCAGAGGCTGGAATAGAGGCAGATGTTTCAGACAATATTATGCTTGACAAATCAACCAGACAGTTTTGCTTAAAAAATAAAGTCTATTAATTTTCGTGATACCCAAAGGTTTATTAATAGTTCATTCATTAAAACCACTCATTCAGAGAACAGATTTTTTAATCATTAAACTTTTTTGTTTGGTCTCACTTTTAAATATGTATTATGAAAAAAAAAAACCAAAAATCACACAGTGTTAAGCTGGAAAAGTGAAAGTGAATACTACCTCTGAGCAAGAACAAAAAATTTAAATTGTTAAACTTGACCAATACAGTAAGTGTTAGCATCTCCCTACAGTACCATTTCTGGGTACAAAAAGCAAGTTCAGAAAAACAGTTTATGTTTGAGAATTCAAATTTTATGTTCATTCTATGAGGTGATATTCCTTTAACTAGTCCTAAATAAAATTTGATATATAAAAGTTCAGGTCATTGTTTGACAAAAAATCTTGGACTCTCTTCTAAGTTGTGATTTTTATATAACTTAAGTTATTTCATCAAGATTTGGTTGATTAAATGCCAAAACTTTAAAAACTACTAGCTGTTGGAAATGATAACAAAGTCTTGAGTGACTCATCTGATAAATTCCATTTTCAAACTTGTCAAAATTTATAGTTTTCTCAAGATTGGATAAAAATTGTAGTCTCTATCGAGACTACAAGCCCAATTTTTTCGCTTCAAAGTCACGGCAATAAACCGTTCATCCAATTGTAACCAGATTCGAACTTGACAGAGATTTCAATCAATATATACATGCATACCAAGTTTCATCAAGATCGTATAAAAACTGTAGTCTCTATCGTGTCTACAAGAAATGTGAACAGACCACTGGACAGGGGCGACAGCAGTATATGTCAAAATTTCCATGTGTAAATTCCCAATAAAAATTTTACAATTTCCATGTGGGCATATAAAAAGGTTAAAATGTAGAAGTCATATCAAGCTTATAAACTTAAATTTTAGTTATCTGTATTACTTGTAAAATCTGATGTTTGTTGAGCCAGTAAAGTAATTATTTAGACAACTAATTCATATTACATTAAAGATATTTAAACATTTAATTCAACAAATAAAGTTTTGAGGTAGAAATTTAGTAGTCAATTTGATTTAGTGATTTAGTCTAAAGTTTGCTGATGATATATATATATATATAAAAAAAATAACCTCTACCAATCATCCTTTAAATTGAGCCTAAAAAAATTACACATAAGATCAATTTTGATGAAAAAGGATTTTGTTTTTATGAAACCATGTCACACATATATAGAATTATATTGAAACTCTGAATAACAACATGTTTCAGGTTTCAGGTTCTGTTTTAATATTTCTATATTGCTGCACAATTGCTTTATGGAACACTATTTTAACAGTGAAAATATATGTATATGTTATGTTATATATATTATGTTAATGACACCCATAAATGCATCACAACCTTTGATAGTTATTACCATGAACATACAAACCTGAATAACAGGCCTGATTTCTGAGGTATTTTACTGTAGGCCTAATAATATATTTTACTGATTATAAAATAAGATTTAAGATTTGACAAAGGTGTTTCTTAAAACTATCATCCCTATGTAAAACATGACAAGCAGTGCCATACTTGTTGAAGAAATATCTTTGGCACCAACTAACACTAAAAGCCAGGTAAGGCAATCCTACTAGTCAGTTGATATTAAGCACAGACATAGTTGGGCCATATTTCTTCAACAAGTAAGGAGATTGCTAAAAGTAAATACGGCCGAAGAATGGCCATGAATGGGGCTTTATTTTTTTCAAATTATAATTCCACTTTTTATAAAAGCATGATAGCTTTAATCAATGGCAGTTCTTCTCATTTCTTTAAGAGATCTATACAACTTAAAATAAGAAAGTGAATTATCTATTGTAATTCACTACATCCTACAACCTTTAAAACCATAACCAAAGATATAATTATGTTACTAGAGTATTGTTAAAATATGCTACTACATGTAATTAACAAAACATAGTTCATAGTAGACTACATTAGTTTTAAGTAAATATATTAAAGTTTTGATTTTGCAGTGTTGATATCTATATAAGGCTTTGCTAGTGGATATAATCCTAGTGTATTCTTAAAACTATTCACATCTTCAATTATCACAGGCTGAAATAAAAAAATTAAACATTTTAAAATCATAAATAAATTGAAGAGGACTAAAAATAAAAAGGTTAAGACAAAAATTCAATATCTTTCTTTGTTCATATTATCTAAAATGAAACATTCTGCAGTATGCAATAAGTGATTATCAACTTAAAAAGATAATAAAAAAAGGCTGTGGCTATTCGTACCGCATTGCGACCGTACAGAAATGGGCATCAAAAAACATTTGGCCATCCCTACCTAAAACAACAAAGTAACTTAATATCAAAATGCCTTCACGCTTTAAAAAAAACAAAAACTATCGCCCATTGTGTCCTATCTTATCCGTACTGCTGTTAGCAGCCAAAGAAAACACGGATCATGACAGTGCAAATAGCCAGTGCAAATAAAAAATACTGGTACTTACTGGAGGTAATGTAGGTGGGGGTGCTAGACCATCAATTATGTCATCAGCTACTTTATTTATAGTTTCATTCTCTATAGAACTAGATATAACATGTACAGATAACTTGTGTCTTTTAGGTGCATTTAATACAATCATTTCCTATAAAAAAAAATAACATTACCAAAATATCAACAGGAGTTTTCATGCTACGTCTCAGCAGATCATTGGCTTTAAGGAATAAAGGACATTGTATAGATGGACATTGCTTTCATATTTGTAATTCACAAAATAAGGTAATGGGGGTTAGAGTTTGTATATGGTAATTATAGAAATGGTTACAAAATAGATATATTTACTTTATCTGACATTAATAATCAGCAGACCTATATTTCACATTGACTGTGTAGCCCATATACATGTTATTTTTTTTTTGTAAAGGTCTCTTTATATTTTCATGTTAGCTTTAACTATGAGTTCATTAGAATATTTCTCTATATAGTATGTTTTTGTTGAAACTTACTAAAATTGATAGTAAATTGTATCAGTCGGTATTCAATATCTGTACTATGAATGGTTTGAAAAAATGAAAAGAAATCACGCCAAGAAATACCTACCTTAAAATAATTGATTAAATCAGTTTTTGAGAATGTTTTTAGACAAGCAATCTCACATGCATCTGAAAATAAACAAAAATATATTATAAGCTAGTAACTAATTAACAATTTATAAGAACTCATTACACTATAACTTGTTTAATTGAGAAACAGTATAAAGGAATAAGAATGTACATGCGAAGTGAGTATAAAACAGTTAAAAGGAGTGTAATTAAACCTGGTTTTTTCATTTAAAGATTGATGAAATATTCAATCATTAGTTATCATGTAATTAAAAATTTAAAAACTCAATTTTAAAAAAAAACTTAACGATTTTGGTAATATCATTTGTAATGTTTATTTAGTCATTGGATAAATTATAAACAGAAGTCAATGCCAGTGAGACAAGACCTTATCACAAGATAAATTGATATACCTCTATCAAAATGATACTGCTGTGAAGAAATTTCATTCCAATATCTATTATTCTGCAGAGACATTTTCTTAGGTTGCTCAGCACGTTTTGAGGCCAATGCTTTGAGATGTTTTTGGAAATCTTCTTCTGATAAATTGTCAAGATATTCCTAAAATAATAAACAGTCATATCAGCCAGTATTTAACAACATTTGTCTAGTCAAAGTAAGGTCATAATGGCAACACACAGGAAATATGGTTGATTATAGGTTGATATAAGGGAAATTCAGCACAGTTTATTCTGATAATGTGAAAGGGATTCGATATTTGAAACTGAAACAATCTTTTTTAAGGAAAAGAAAATAATAATCCAAGTTCATCTCAACAATGTAAAATATAATATAAAAACATCTCATACCTCCATTTTCTGAATAAAAACCTCTACCCTGGATTCAACATAGATTGGTGATTTATCAGACTGGATAATAAATCTTAAACCTTGTACACCACTTGATCTACGTACACCACTCATTACAATATAACCTGACAAACACATTGTTAATAATATCTAAACTTAAAATGCTTCACAGAGTCTTAAATTTTTTAAGATTATTACATATCAAAGATAGCCATGGTGCCATCAAAAGCTCTTATACTAAAATTATTTATGCTTACCTAGCTGTTCCTGAGTTCGTAATATATTAAAACATGGTTCATTGATAATTTGGCATAGTAATTCCAATAACATATTATTTTCTTTACATTGTATACCAGTTTGATAATACATCTGTATACATGAACTTTTATGTACTTTATTTGTTTTTTGATATATATAATAACAACCTGAAATAAATACAGAAAATATATCTTATATCATTTTATTATCACTAAATTTAAAAAAATATTAAATTAATTAATGAACAGAATCCTCTAGGATGTGTACGAACCGGGAAAGAGTTAAAAGAGACAGATGGATGTATGACAGAGGTAAATTTAACTGAGATGAAATAGGGCAGATTGAAAAATAGGATGTAGACAAAAAATCAGATACAGCTAGAATAAAACAGTCTGACAATTTTGGACTGAAATAAAATAAATGATAGTAGACAAAATGGGACAATCTGAAATAGTCACTGAAAAAATGACACAGTAAGTAAAACTGAAATTCAGCTGTATAGTTTTTGTTATCCACTCTATTGAAAGTAATTATTAAATGTTAAATCATACCATCAGGGAGTTGTATTTCACGGTAACGTTTTCGTAAGCTAGGTAACAATGGTTTGGTACCGATATTTGTCTGTAATACACTCTCTACTGTTTCTATGGTTTCAATTGCTTTCTACCAATATAAATATATAACTTTTCATACTTTTAGCTATTTGAATGATTCATATCTTCAAATAAATGCTCACAAAAATAGGAATCCAGTTACAGTGCATGATACAAAATCATGAGATAATCCAGTGCATAATGAAACTTTGTGTTTAACATTACCTTATTTAATGATTTTGATCCTTATTGATTAGCTTTCGACCATTATACATAATATAGTCTTAATAAGAAGGGATGTGTCTTATATATTCTTGAACATTATCATCAAGTGAATGTCAAAACTCACCTGTTTTGATGTATTGCCATATATTAAAGCCTCTATGTACAATTTTGATAACAACTGAGGCATGAATTTTTCCATTTTCTCTACAGTCACCTCTGAAAACATAATCAAATTTAAAAGTCTTATGTATATTTTTATTCTATGAATCGAGAAAGGAATTGAGAAACTGGAACAATAAACTGGAACAATAATGAGAATAAAACAGACCTGAACTGAGACTTTAATTTTTTTTCCCCAACATTAACAAGCTAATGGTTTCATAAGATTTCAATCTGGCCCATAGAACTACAAACATTATACACCATTTTTTGTATGCAATAAGATTTAAAGTATAAACAAATTATTACCATCTAAACAGTCTAATAATTCCTGATTAGTCCAGTAGACTTCTGACATCAAGACTGATGTGTAATATGTTACATGAGCATGAGGTTGATTGGCTTCAAAATTTCTTAAACTTCTCTCATACTGAAATGAAAAATAAAACCATTAAATAGTTTCTTCGAAGCCCAAAACAAGTAAAATTCAAATTCGTAGTGATTAATTGTTGATCTAACAAATCTAAATGTATACTGAGCATTGTCAATTTGATTACGTGGAGTATAACTCAGACACAATATCATCATAATGAGAGTTATACATTCTCCTTTTGTGATTCTGATCCTACTAAAGATGATGCACCAAGCAATCTGCAAAAAGAAAATTAAGTCATTTTTTTCCATTCCCAAATTTTGGGGATCTTTGTTCATCGTTCAATCTGAAAACTACACGCCTACCCGCCATTTCAGATTTCAGCGTTTACATTATCATATGTCTGATGATTGCTACGTATATTTGAGGTAAGAAAAAAAATTTCTTTCTTAAACCATACCAATTCTTTGATAATTTCAAATCTTTTACTGTCAACTTTAAATGTGGTAAGTTTTTCTAGTATCTTCTTTAATAATATATCTTGTTTATCATTGTAACCTTTCAGAGATAGCTAAAATTATAAATGATATATTTCAATATATTTCAACCATCAATGTACTGTATATGGTACTATATTTCATTGTCAAGGTAACACCAACTTAATCATTATGAACCAGGGTAAACCAGATGCCAATTGTCAGTCTAGTTGTAATCTACAATTTTCTTATGTGAATAAGTAACAGTGATTGGTAAAAACATTACAATCATATCAACCAATCAAATATTTTAGTGTTGTATATTTACTACTACTGCAATGAGCCTGAAATCATACTCAGGTTTGGAAAACTGAAGGTAAATCTATGCTTAAATAAACTGGATTCTCTTTACAAGTAAGAACAAACTGGTTCACTATCAAATTGATCAAAAAAAAAACACTTACATGAATACCATAAGGTGTACATTGTAAATTATAATGTAATCCAGCCAATTCAGCAGCATATGCATATTCATTTAAATTATCAGCAAATAATGTAACAAATAGATAGGTCAAATTAGACTGCACTGGATCAGAATAACTTAGAGGCCTACAATAAAAATACATCAATTACAAAGATTGATTGAGTTGTGAACTAGATGTATCACAATTTCAAATATCTATTGAATAATGATGTACATAACAAACTGAGTACCGACCAAATGCTCAACATTTTTGAATAATCCTATATGACATGATACCCTCAAAGTAGTAGAATATCTAGAAAGTTGAAAAACTACCATCCTTAAAAGATATTAACTCAATCTCAATATTCTTTTAATTGCTCAGGATTAACTTAGTAATACAATTTATGTGGAAACAGACATTTGTTTATAATACAATACTCACGTAGTTAACTCTATATTGGTACAAGATTTGGGTAGAAGGAATTTTTCATCTTTTTTATACCATAATCTAGTTAATGGTGTATCCTATAATAACAATAAACTTTTATCATACAAGTCAACAATCTATGAATTATAAAATTATAAAATAGAGAAAAGAAAATCTTGTGTTATGTAATGTATTTAATCATTTTAATACCAAAGTGCCCATTTCCATCCACGAAAACTAGAAGAATATTTTTCACCCTTGACCATGCAAGTTTCTGGCATACATGCAAGAGGCTTACAAACAAATTAATATGATTCCATACCTTCACAACTTCAGGGAATGCTGGCGCCTGAAATATATCAAATTCATAATATAGTAATATAAAAAGTTTAAATTTTGAATTTAAGAAATGTATTGATAGTTTATTCAGACCTCTGATATAAAAGATGAATTGAAAAATATTACAGCTGGCCAAAAAAAAAACATGTTATGGTTTTATTGTTTATCATTCTGCACAATATATTTGTTGAATTACCTCTGTTTCATTTGGTATAATGTCAAAATTCGTGGCAATAAATTCATTTTTCTCAGGTAATCTGAGGTTATTATGTAGACCACAGGTTGACCAGGTATTTAATGTTTCAGGTGACACTTTACTGATACTATAATCTGTATCATACCACTTCTCTTTTAAATGGGCTTCAGATTCAAATTTCTTAGCCATTACTATCATTCTGAATAAAACAATCATTGTATGATTACAAAATTTGAAATCTTGTGGTAGAATGATAGCCACCAGTTTACAGCTGATTTCAATTACCTCTTGTTGACTTTATGGATTAATTTTGGCATGTGTAATTACAAGCAGGAAACTTTTCCCTTGTCAACACAATTAAAGTTACAAAGACTGAAATTTTAAATTAGACTTCATAAGAGAAGGCTTAGGTGTGAGTAACAATACATTTTAGATTAAGATACTTTTTTAATTTAATAAATCTAATAAATAAATACTTCATATTATCAATAGTTAGTTTTTGTAGAACCATTTCTATTAAATCTGGACGGTATTCAGACATTATATAAGGTCCACTTAATACTTCTGGTAAAAAGAATTCCTGAAAAATCACAGAGAAAATTTCAGCCTTTAAACAACCCCAATGATGATTTCCTGCAGTTCATCACATGTAAAATAAGGCTAGTTCTGATGTTTCTGCTCTAGGCATAGTGACTCAAGAAACTCTCATCTTTAATGTCATGATATCCTCATATCAAACTTTTTGTGTGAAATTAAGTTAACTATAGATTCATATAAATAACGTTAACGACGCAATAACCATGAAATAAAAAGACGATACTTACATGTAAATATCCAGCATGTTTACTGGTATAATTGTGTGGTTTTTCCTTATCTTTGAAACGGAATGTCATAGCACTTAAATCCTGAAAAAAAATTCAATGATTCCATTTCTTATGCTACATGGTTTATTAATTTGGAAGGGATTGGGAACTAAAACTAAAATCGCTTCCAAATGTAGCAACTATGGAATAAGAAATTTACCTTACGGCAGATCTTTTTTATATTAGAGCCTCATTATCAACAGATTATATATAGATATGACCATATTACTGTTGTTTATTCATTTTTATAGTGGAAATGTTTGTATTTGTACCTACCTTACATTCATTAAAGATCCATTCTTTAGTACCTTCTTTTTTTAACATATTAATATATTGATAGATTAGAGTGACAATATCATCTACATGATCTGTAAAGTTGACAACATTAGATATTGACAAGATACATTATTGTTAATTTATTGAAGATGACCTAAAAATATCACATTATCGTGTCAGGCCTAATTCTGTTATTTTTCAAGCCAGTTAGGCACATTCCAGAAAACACAACTTGTCGGTATCTAAAGTCGTACTTAAAAATATTACAATAATTTATAGATAACTATTATAGATAATAATGGAATAAAACTATACCTAATCCATCATCTGTTAAATCAACTGTTACAATAAAAAATGCAAAACCTTTAGCTCCTGCCTTCTGTCCACCCATTAACATGTTTACCCACCCTAATATGGTAAAAAAAAAAAGAAATATATATGTATATATAGAAGAACAAATTAATATTTTACCAATTTATTATGCATTTATCATAACCTATTTTTAAGAACCAAACTTGCTCTGTTACTATGAAATACCATGGTATTACATGAAAAGCAAAATATTGAGTGACAAAAAAAAGACCATTGTCTAATATTAAGGGACATGTTCGCCATTTTTCAAAGGTTGATTTGGGTCCTGAATATATGTAAATAGTCTTTCAAAGTACTAGAAATGTAAGAAAAGAGCATTATTCCTTCATTAATACTAGGAATTTCAATTTCTATATATGTCTATATTATGGCAGAGTCTCAAAAAAAGACGAGCTGTCTTTTTAACTTTTATTCACGTTTCAGAGCCTAAGGTACAATTGGTTAAACCTGTCCCTTAACATGACATAGACCCTAGGTTCTATATAGTAGAAGCACATCTTGTTAACGTCAGTGTTTAACTGATTTGAATCAATCTCTTCTCTATCCTTTCAATCATAAAAAGAAAAAGAATATTATCCTACAAACCAAGAAAAAATGTCATAACTAACCTCTAGATTTTAATTCAGATAATAAACTTCCTTCACCTTCATGACCTATTAAATGTCCCAAGTAATGACCTGGCTGAAAATACAGTCATAATTTAACAAAAATTGTCATACATTTAATCTTTTACAGATTGCAACCATTTTCCTAATAAAAATTAGATGACCCCATGATTCACTTTATCCAAATAGCCTAATATGAAGGGTTACATATACTCATGTATCTTTCATAAGTATCGTGTGTGTTAATATTTTAAAAAGAAGGCTATACCCAGGTGTTGATTAGCATGGTTTAAAAAAATCATATGACATGCATATTTATTATATCAGTCCCAAAAATACAAAGTTTTGGTGCTAATGGTAAAAATATGTATCTGATGTGTTGAAAAGAAAATGTAAACCAATTCAATTAGGACTTTTTTTATTTTTTATCTTATTTTTATTTCTTGACTCAGTGGTTGTTAATAGGTGTGAACCATCAAATTACCATTTGCAATGAGTTAAATAATAAATACTAACATTAGAGGTATAATATGGCTGGAGATCAGGAATTGACCAAAACACATTCAAATGTCGTACATCTTTAACAGGAACAACATTGACTCGTGTCTAAAAAAAAAATTATTAAAACATCATTAAAAACAAACTTGTCTGCTTCTAATACATATCCTACTGTATGTCTTTAGTAACAGAACATCAAGAAATAAATGATATATGATAAAACAACCATAACTTACAACATATTCTTCACGTTCAAATGGTTGTTCTAACCATTCAGGAACTGTTAAATTCTTATTTTCTACATCATAGAATAATGGGACTACTAACTCACTTAATTCATCTAATGTTTCTGGAATATGAATTAGTTCTTTGATCTACTACACAAGGGACAATTTAATTCAAACAACATCATTATTAAATCATACCTCTATCTTGCAAGTCATGTTTGGATTTTGAAATATGATGAAAACTTTCTGAAGCAACCTTACTGGGATGCTCACTCAAAATTTTACATACTAAGACTTCTTGGTCACCGATTTTGGTCACGAACTCCAATCTTGAATAAAATCCAGCGTGCAACCGGGACAAGATTATCATGTTGAACAAGATCTATTATATCAAACCAGTTTGATATTTGTCACCATTTGTTTTCTTGTTTGCATGACAGAGTGTCATCATCCAATCAGATTCATTTTCCTTTCTGCACGTGATTATTGACAAAGTGGAAAATGACCAACTGGAGATTCTCGTCTCCTCATGCGCCAGCAGCTGGTCGGTGAAACCCTTAACAAGACTCCAGTAGGCCACAAAAAGTGCAGACCGTTCGTCTGCCAGCACTTTAAGTAACCCGAAGACATTTTTAACAGTAAAATAATGAAATAATCAGAAATCTTACCTTTACCCAGAACACAAAGGCCCATAATGTTTGATGAGTAATATTTGGAATGAAATTTTAATAGTTCATCTCGTACATCTATACCAGAGGCTTTAGGTAGAGTTTCTAATGTTGATTTATTACCTAAAAATATAGTAACAGTTGTGTCAATATCTTCAATACTATTGATGATCAGCAAATGGGAATGAAATCATATTTTCCAGGCAAAATTAGTTTTAATCAAATACCTAATTTTTCACAGAAAGAAACACATGAGAGTACCGAATCGCTCAAAATAAGGTCAGGTTTCTAGACAATTGAAGAACATTGAAGAAAATCAAATGACAAGATAGCTTGCCAGGCAAGATAACATACGCCCATTGGCAGCTGTCAGAAATGATAAAACAGTCTTTAGTGACTAAAGTATGAATTTTCTCATATTAAAGAAATTTTATTAGTTTGAATTCAATTATATATTTATTTATGCTGAGAAATTCCACCAAATTTTTAAAAATCAATATCAATAACCCAAATACATCAATTTATCTCATCAATATACATGTTTCATTAAAATCAATTGAAAACTGTAGTCTCTAATGTCTTCACAAACAAATTTTGACGTGTTTTTCCTTAGTCAAGGCCAATAACTCGAAAACCATTCATCGAAAGATCGTCAACTTCGAACTTGACCAAGATCTCATCAATATAAATGATCACACCAAATTTCATTAAAATCAAAGTTGAAAACTGTAATCTCTATTGAATTCACAAACAAATTTTGACAAGTTTTTCCTAAGTCAAGGGCAATAATTCAAAAACCGTTCGTCGAAAGATCGTCAACTTCGAACTTGACCAAGATCTCATCAATATGAATGATTACACCAAATTTCATTAAAATCAGTTGAAAACTGTAGTCTCTACTTTTTTTCAAAAACAAATTTTGAAGCGTTTAGTCTGTATTATGTTCACAAGAAATGTTGACGGACCAACGGACCAAGGGACAGGGGCGACGGCAATATAAGTCCACGTTTCCATGTGGGCGTATAAAAACTGATCATCCGAAACAAATCAAGTTTGAATTTGACCGAGATCTTATCAATATGTTCATACAATATATACATTCATTAAAGCCCAACGCAGACGAGGAAGATTTCTGTCGACGAACAAAAACATCGAACAAATATATTTTGTTTTCAGTTATCCGCAGACGACAAACATAATTCCGTAGACGACAAACATTTAGCTCGAACAATACGCCAGTGCCACGGAAAATCACATGACCTCAAAATGGCGAAATAGGAGCATTTGGGTCCGTACCTGGATTCAACGTCGTAAAGAGCAGGGTGTGTTTGGCAACCTTGTATAGGAGCTGTCGGCTGACGACCCAGCAATGTATCGGCGATATTCCGGGTTGACAAAGATGGGTTCAACACAATATTGAGGCAGATTGCGACCACATATCTACTAAAATCTGCTCCTCCTCCACAGTCCAAAATTTTGTGTTGGTGGATTCACTAGACGTCGGCATTTTGAGCGTCATGTGATCTTGGCTTCGATCGCTGATAGATCTTTTGTCGATGAATGTTCGGCGCTAATGTTCGTCGTTAACGCAGACAGCGAACAAAGAATTGTTCGTGAGGCGAACTATTTTAAAAAATCACACGTTTGATTTCACGAAAAGACGGTGAAAAAAGTGATTGAAACAAAATTTTTACGATTGTTCGCTTAAAATGCTCCCCGTCTGCGTTGGACTTAAGATCAAATAAAATCTGTAGCCTCTACCATGTTCACAAGAAATATGAAAGGATGGAGCACAGCAACATACAATATAATAGTGTTAACTGACATGTTACACTAAGTACCTAATTATTCAGGTCGAAGTCAAACACATTTTACTTCTTATAATACCTGTTCCAAATTTATAATAATCGTGTTTAGGATTAGCTAAAGATCTTTCTAATTGAGCTGCTCTCCATGCATCATTCTGTAAATTCTTATCATTCTCAGAGTTCACAGCATTCACTTCTCTTTCAGTAGCTGATGGTGTAAATAAAGGTGAATGAAAAAATTGGGAGAATCTGAAAGTAAAATTTATCTGCATGAATAATTTCTAAAATTTACTCCTTTTTGAATATTATGTTTTAACTCTGTTATCATAATATTATCAAATCATAAAGCATAAAAAAAAATTGAAACTGTCACACAATTCATCTTGAAGAAAACACAAATTCATTTTGTACCACACACATATATGGAAATATTGAATCATTTGTCATAGCATGGTCTGATTGGTAACAAAACAATATACCTGTCTAAAGCTCCTGCTAAATTTTCTGCTGCCACATCAAAGTAAAAATTAGTATGTTCAGATGAGGTAAAGGCATTAGACGAACCTCCATGCTCACTGAGAAACTAAAAACAGAAAAAGGTATTAAAATTCCTTCCAAACATTGTTGAAATGTTTGATATTGAAATGATAATATCAGTTAAACAGTTAAAACAACAACATGCAATGTACAATGAATAAAATTAGTCATGATAGATATGCCATTCTATTATTTAGGGTGTCAGCTGTCATGGGAATAGTTCAATTGAAGTTTTATATCTTCTAACTTTTACCTTATTATATTCATTTTCTTCTGGATACTAAAAATAAATAAAATATTCCATATAATCAAGGTAACATAACAAATATGACATTATCTATTAATACAAAGCTAATCTTTAACCAATTACTCAAAGCTTTTAGTATTACTCTCTCCATGATTTAAATCAACTAGTAATTTAAGTAAAATTGGTTATTTGCTGTTAGTTATTTAGGGACCTGTGAGACAAAACTGGTGAAATCGATTGATTTTAATTTAAATTTAAATTTGAATAAATGAAAAGAACCCATTTTTAAGCTCTTACTGAACAATGGAAAGATTAATAATTAAACTAAGTACTAATGATCTGAATCTCAAAACAAAACCCAAAATCCAAACAACATATTGGCGAAACATTAGTAGCAGCTAATGAACTTCTAACATGAGAAAGTATACCAATCATAAGCCAGTGAGTATTTCATAATAAAAAATAGTTTTGAGTGTCTAGAAGAATAAATTGAAAAAAATATGATTTCCTTATCAAAAGGATACCTTGTTAAGTTTAGAAAGAATGAAATAGCTTCACCTTTTCACAAGAAGAATCTTTTATCCAGTTGTGTTTAACTTTTCTTAAAATTTCAATACATCGGTGACATACAGGGATTAAAGAATTCTTACCTTTTTTGTACCCAAAAATAGCATATGCTCACAAAAATGAGCTAGTCCTTGAAGTTCCCATGGATCTTTCATATATCCTACAAAAAATATTCAATTATCTGACATAATAATACTTGAAATGCAACAATCTCTTACATGAAATATGAAACTATCATGTCTAACTAGGTAACAGATAGCAAGATAGTCGTAGTGAAACACCATTGACTCAAATGTAGCAATATGGCACTAATTTGGAGGTTTGAGTGCAAAAATGAAAAACACATACAAATCAGGCCTGTGTGCTCAATGTATGCTATCATTATTTAGACTGAAGAACTTTTGGCTTGAAAGTTTATCCTACATGTCTGAAAACAGATTCATCTCATTTCAACAAAATGACATAGACTTTATTCACACCTCAATCTGTAAACATTGAATGCGTGACTCATAACGCAAATTACATTATCTATTGAAAACATGGCGGTGTCATATTATGAAGGAGTAGCCTACATGACATCATCAAACAGCTGACCAACAGCTAGAGACTAAATGTGTGAAGATAAAATTCATCATGAACATATCATTTAAATAGCTTAATCTATTCAAGTTTTAATGAAAAAAAATTTATAAAAGGTGTGAGCTAATGAGAATGGAGAATAAGGCTTTAGAGACATCAAGGTGGCAATTTTATCCAGTGACACAACATTACCTTTTTTATGTTTGCGTTATGAGCCTCTTTCTGGATTCAATATGGCTGAATAAGGTCTATGGAACCTGGCAATGTTGCAATACTGATTTTTCAACAAAAGTAGTTCTTTCAAGGCTATAAAAAACAGGGTCAATAAAGCACGAATTGTTGCCAAAGGCAGTTTGAGATTTGCGAGAATATGAGCCTTAATTGACACTTACCAATATTAACATCTAAAGCCGCTGAAGCTTTATCAGTATCAGGATCACTTACTAACAATACTTTCATTCCATTTGTTAATTCTAATCCCCGGTATAACCTTTTATCTTCTGCTGATTTACTAATGACATCCTCATTGTATGTCTGTTTAATATGCTGTGTCATTTCCACTTGTTGGTGGATTCTGTAGAATGGGAAAATGCACAGAAATGATTTCAAAGGGACAAATTTGCCATTTTCGTGGGTTGGCCTGATTTGGAGTCGGTGAGCTGTAGTGAGCTATAAGTACTATTACTGATTAGCTAAACAAGAAATTCCTTTTCCGAGACTGAGGTACGATTGTTCAAACGAATGGCGAAACGATGCCTCTAGCTATTCAAATAAATATTTCTTTTGACTTTTTCCACAGTGCTAAACCACATAGCTATGAAAAATTGGTGCACCCCCCACCCGAGACCCTGGACTTACTATGGGACTGTTAAGCTACTTAGGTCAACTCAACTACTGATACTTATAGATAGGCCTATCCTATGCGAAATCACATAGCTATTAGCAAGCCTACTTGATCAGCTCCACCAATCAATTACTTTGACTTTGGCTTACAATCAATACCAAATGATCATCTGTTTAACTTACGTAGTTAAAGCACGTTTCCGAGCTTCAAAACCAGTAACTACTTTGTTAAATACTTTGAACAAGAAACGACTCGACCGGAGCATTCAATGTTTCATAAGCGCAAAAATATGCCAGATTTCTCAAGAAGCAGTTCGGTCACAGAGAATTATCCCCCCTTTCCGTAGTCCGAAATAGTGAAGTGAAATCTAATGATCTGTATTTGACTATTTTTCTCTTATTGACATTTTGACTCTTTAAACGCACAGGAAACATTATGTGTCCATTAGGCAGCCGATAAAGCCTCTATATCAGAAATAAACAATCTACTATATTAAAACAAAATAAATGAACGTAGGTAACGGACTATTTTCAGTACGTACCCAAAGGAATTGGTCAGAAATAATAATTATTATCTTTATACTTCATTCGTTGGGGTTTTCCTTCGTTTTGTCCTTAAAATATCTGTTTATTAAAAAAGTAATCCCGGGATGGTTGGGAATAATGCACAGGCTCATTGGGACTCATATGGAAAAATTTCCTATTCCAATTCAATACTGCGACTAAACACCATTCCTGATATTACTTGTCCCTCTGAACAATTAAGTCTGGCTACGGGTCTAATAATACACAATCGGTGGCGTATTATTACATAAGCGATCAATGGTGGCTCATAAGTATCATGTCGCAAACTGGAATAGAAGATGTCATTCAGTCATCATATACCGTAATAATAGAGTACAGTCAAGTAATCTAATTTCGTGTGAACCTAATTTTGTGGTCGTGTATCTTCGGAAATGATATTAAGTCATTTACATGTGCGACCTCGCGCGACCATTGCATGTGTATATTGTGAAACAAGTGGTTATCTCTAAAACGTCAACCCGCAGAATTTTTCCCTACTGTTTCAAAGCAATGTCAAATTTATTATCGGTTTCTAGCATAATTATACAAAATGGCGGATTTCAGTCATTACCAAATATCATCATTTTTTATCGGCCAAATTTCCTTATAATCATAAGATCTAATCGGAATTCCATGTGTCGTCTGCTAGAATATATTCCTGAGAACAAAATCGTGTGACAAACTAGCGGATTCCATGTAAGGAGAAAAATTCTATGGAACACAATGTGGGCCATCTTGTTATGTTGTTTCAATGAATTTTAGCAATGTACTTACTCTTACATACTTTTCTTAGTTTGTCAGTCACTATATTTTCTTTAATTATTGTTCTTTGAAGGAATTGTTATTATTTATAATGATTTGTTAAAAGAGAAATAATAAGAAAATACAATACTGGGTAGGCTATACATTCAACGTGTTATCTCTTGATCAAATATTGTACAGGAAAATAGGAGATGCATTTTGCAGCCGTTCTCGAGTTGGTTACTTATGAAATATGGGTCAAAGAAAATCAGAACAAACGTCAAGAATTGTGTCTTGTAGAGTGTTTACGAGCTAAAAATTGAACGCCTTTTCATAAACAAGGGCAATAACTCGTACTAAATATTTTTTGATTCTTCTGATTTTCAATAGGGTTTATCCTTGGGTGATAACAAACACTCACACCAAGTTTCATCAAAATCCACCGAGACTTCTAGAGCATTAACGAGCTAAAAATTGAACGCTTTTTCACAAACAAGGACTCATACTAACAGGCTGATTTTGAATCCGCCTGTAAACTAGTTTTTGACAAATTAAGGGAGAGGGGTTATTCCAAAAGGTTTCTTCGAAAAATTAAGAATGACACGCTTTCAGACATTTTGAGAAAAGAAGACCCCCCTCCACCTTTTATTGGATTCGGTTCATTTCCCTGTGGTGGTCCTACTTGTCGCACATGCGAACACATACATGTTACCCATTTTTTCAAAAACAACAAGAACGGAAAATTGTTTGCGATGAATAACCTAATTTCTTGCGGAGATCAAAATATCATATACCTAATTTCTTGTAAAAAATGCGATGTACAATATGTTGGCGAGACTCAAAATGCGCTTCGAACGCGATTCAATGGCCATCGCTATGATATAGTGCATGGCAAGGATAGACCAATTGCGAATCACTTCAACCTTCCCGATCATTCCATTGATGACCTTCTCATCATGCCTATAGAAACAGTTTCTACATCACCTAGCATGAAACCTAAGCTTAGACGTCTACAACGCGAAAGTTATTGGATCGATCAACTGCAGACTGTAAGGCCAAATTTCCCCATGTATACACAAAACGTTTGGTTGTAGCTTACAAAATCAAAATTGTTGTGTCTAGGTTCGAACGTATGTGACGCCGAAACAGTATGTGCGCTTCTGGTTGCTTGCTTTGCACGAGGTCACATGACGTCATTCACTTTGTAGTAGGTCGGCGGGCTGGCCGCCATTGTTGTAAGAATTTCATGTATAATAAATTTAAGTTTTAATCAACTATGCATCTTTTTGGCCATCGCAAACACAACAAATTGGCGACGAGGATGAACCTGAAGAAGAATGGCTGGTAATTTAGTAGGTTCGTTGCCTCCTCCTTCACCTTTTCTCGCTTCACCCGGCGATCCACCGATTCCGTATCAAAGATGGATAGAGGGTTTTAAGAATTATCTAATTGCTAATGCCTTAGACGGCGAAGATGTCTCCGATGACAGAAGAAAAGCAATATTGTTTCATTGTTTGGGTGATGAAGGACAACGAATATTTAGAACTTTGGCCAACACAGATACGTACACAAATGCACTCGATGCCCTCAAAGCTCGTTTTCGAAAACGAAAGTCGGTCATTATGTCTCGAAATACAGTTCAACGACCAGGTGAGAAAATAATTGAATTTATTACTGCCTTGAAAGAACTGGCTAAATACTGTGAATATGGTGATTTGACAGATGAAATCATCCGAGGACATTTTATTACGTTCACGTCTATGAAACGAATTAGGGAACGCTTGCTTCTAGAGCCAGACGATACTACTCTCGCTAGAGCAACTGAAATAGCCCAGTTGGTTGAAGATGCACATTTCCAGTGCAAAGCTATGACGAAAAATGGTCAAAAAGTCGAAAATTCGTCAACAACGTCAGAAGAAAACAAAGTCCAAGGTGTACGTAAGAAAAACTACGGTGCGCCATCAAGGCAAAGAACTCAAAGTCAAAACTACGGAAACAATTATGTGCCAAGACAAAAATCAAGTGGTGGTCAATATTTTCAAAACTATGATAGAAATCATTCCAATGCTGGAAATCAGCATTGTACCGGTACTAATTGTGGATCATCATTGCACAGAGCTAATAGTAATAACTGTCCTGCAAGGGGAGAAACTTGTAATTCTTGTGGAAAATTTGATCATTTCGCTCGAGTTTGTCGTTCAACAAGACAATCACATAATTCGGGTCAACAGAGACGTTTTCAAGACCAAAATGCAATAAGATATGTTGTGGATCAAGGTTTCTACAACAAAAGCAACGATAATGAAGATAAATTTGTTGATAATAACTTTGAAATTTGTACGATTCGACAAAATGAACATATTCGTCAGTGCCAAAATGGTCCTGACGAAGACTTTAAAAGACTTGTTGTTCGTATTAATGACATTCCATGTTCTTTATTAATTGATTTGGATGCAAAGGTATCCATACTTAATGAAAGTTTATATAATTTGTATTTTAAACGTTTTAAGTTGCATAGGCCTCTTAAGAATTTAGTTACTTTTGATGGTAAATCTATTGATGTATTAGGGACTATTAGAATTCCTGTCCAGTATAAATATCAAACTTAAGATCAGTTTGAGTTTTATGTTACTAGATCTGGTACTAGTTTAATGGGTCTTGATTTGTTTAATAGATTAGGTTTTGAACTGTCTCATTATGGTGAAAAAATTCAAACTGTAGCATCAAATATATTACAAAAGTACCCAACAGTATTTTCAGGTTTGGGAAGGATTAGAAAGTTCTCACACAACCCACAGGTGTTAGAACATGTTTCACCTGTCTCTCAAAGGCTTAGACGTCTACCATTTTCTGTCCGTCAAGAAGTCTCTACTGAACTTAAACGTTTAGAGGACACAGATATAATCGAACGTGTAGATTCTTCGACATGGGTTTCGAATTTAGTTGTGGCAAGACGTAAATCGGGAGAAATCAGACTTTGCATCGATCTTAAAGATGTTAATACAGCTATTGTTCCTGATAAGTATCCTCTACCGACAATGGAAGAATTGTCAGCAGAATTCTATGGATCTACTGTGTTTACTAAATTAGATCTTTGTAGATCTTATCTACAAATTCCTTTGGCGGAATCAGCTAAACATTTAACAACGTTTATAACTCACGATGGTTTATTCCAGTATAAGCGATGTCCGTATGGATTATCAAGCGCTCCAAGTGCCTTTCAGAAAATTCTTAGCATGGTTCTTGACCGATGCCCAGGAACACTCAATATGTTAGACGATATAGTTATTCATGGTCGAAACATGCGTGAACATAATCAACGTTTGGAAACTGTTCTTAGACGTTTACAAGACTATAATTTAACTTTGAACAAAGATAAGTGTATGATTGCTACACAGGAAATTGAT